CCACTATTGAAAACGATCTATTTTTAATTCCTCAGCGACGGTGGCACACAAGCGCACGAACACCTGACGACGGGAGCGCGCGGCGCGGCGAAGACATTTATCATGGCCGTGTCAAGTTTTAATCGCTTTCCCGTGGTCGAAGCGCGGCTCGCGGGAAAAATTCCAGCTCAAGTTTTGAGCCGTGTAATTCCCGCCGAACGGCCGCGAGCTGAGCGTTTTCCGACCTATTAGTGCTGATAAACAGCGAGTTAAGTGGGAGGGCTCAACTCCGTAATCCCTTCTCACACACTTCGCTTTTGGCAGGGTTGCCTCGTGGATATGTTCGAGTAGTTCGTGCGATATTGAGTGTGAAATTCAAAGAGGAAATAAGAGTCCGCATTGATAAGTAGGAATGCGTGACCACTAGATGTTCCCGGGGTATTTTTTTTAGCCACTTTGAAAAAAAAATCTCGGTGTATTACTAATGTGGGGATCACCCTCGTGGGGATCACCAGGGCTCTACGGGAGTGTTGGCTGGGCCTCCTGTCTAGAGCTGCCGCGATTCCGTTTCGTTGCCGCAAATAGCGTAACGTCGGAATGCGTAGCTCCTGATCAGGAAAGAAAGCAGCCAACAAGGGCAGAAGAGAGCAACTCGCTAAAATTCGGATGACAATGACAAACCAAAGAGAGAGGTAGGGTTTTGGCTGTGAAAATTGAGTGAAGGAAGATCGCAGGCATGAGCCACAGCTAGATCATTTCTCCGACTGACTGCTCCTGCTCCGCCAGCGCGAGACCAGCTTCGCTGGCTGCCGGCCTCCGCGAGTGCGCAGACGCAAACGCATGCGCGCTCGGGCCTCGATAGCGAGGCGGAGGGGGACGTTGCCGACAATCTCAGATTCACGGAAACGTCACTCTCCGACACTAAGAAAAGGGTAAAATTGCCAAGAATTCAGGGTTCTATTTGATCCCAGTTTTTTTCTGGGTAAAATTACCATCAATGGAATTGGTAATTTTACCGAGAAATCTCTGTAGATTTATTGAACTTTCTCGGTAATTTTACTGGACCCTGGTAAAATCGCCAATATTTTGTAACGACTGTGGTAGAATTGCCGAGATAAAATAGCAAAGTTACCGGGAATTGATTACCAATAAAAGTGGAATTCTTACTTGAAAAAAACAGTAAAAATACCGGTTTATAGGTAAGCTTACCAGTCTGTCTTGGTAAAATTACCAGTAATTGGTAAAAAAAAGTGAGATGGTAAAGGTACCAACGGACCGTGGTAAAAACGAAGAGAATTTTTTTCTCAGTGCAATGAGACACCACACGACTACTTTTTCATTTCTTATGGAAAATAACATAGCATGACTGCATGAGAAAGCGAACCCATAAATTTTTTCCGGATTCAGTAAATTTTTCGGCTGAAATATTTGTTTCCGACTGACTTCTCGAGGATTTGACGTTTCTATTAATGACCAATACGTTCCACTTTTTCCTAAAAACTCAAAAGATATTGATTTTTGAAATTTCAATTTTCTTTCATTCGGATCGCTGTTTATGACCAGAGAGTAAATGTCGACCCGAATGGAAGAAAATCGATTTATTTTTGCCGAAAAGTGACTGATCCCGAAAAAAATATGTGGTTTTGATTTCTCTCGACTTCTTATTTTCTATGAGAAATGATGAAGTGGTCTTCGGGTGTCTGATTGGCTGAAAAAAAAAAAACCGATGGTCACGTACTTCTATTATTCAATGCGGACTCTAATTTTCTCTTCGGTGAAATTCAACACACTGACGAAGAAAATGTTTAATTTTTTAATCAGCTTCGCGATAGAATTAATTTTGTAGCAGTGCTAAGCTCATTGAAGCAATATTTGATTCATTATCACGGGGGAAAAAGTCAGAGTCACGCAAATATTTTTTTTTATTCCACTCATGAAAATAATTTTATATCATTATAATATTATAATATAATATATCATTATAATAATCATAATAACTCATCATCCGAGTTATCATTCATTATTTTGTGAAATGTATTATTCTGATTTTTTCTTCCTATTTTCATAACGAGGTTTGGCCTCTGGGAAAACATGAAAAGTTATCATTATCTTAGCAGCGAGGCGTTTTTCTCGGAAAAAGTCAAATACTCTGCAATGAACTCAGAATAGTATGGAAAGTACAGATGGTACACTCGCAAGGAGTGTAGCGCCGTGAAAACGTGAGGTACGTAACTATTTCGACGCTCCGGAGCGCGTATTGCATACTCTCCGCAGATGAAGGCGCTTACGTCTTTGAACACGATACTCGCTAAGCATCCTACGTTTCTACATAAACACCTCCTTCCCTCTGGTGAAACTTTCGAGAGTTATTTTCATCAGAATGATTTAATAAACCTTACCTATCCTAACTCTTACTTTAAGTCAAACCGTGCGTAGCTTGTTCCCAAGGCTGTTAGAGAGCGTTTCCCGTAGAGACCTCAAAATCGCTAAATGTGACCTTCTCCCCCAAAGGCTCTCTCCTTGACAATTTGCTCCCAGAAGATAAGGTTCCTCCTCACAGATCCTGTCACATTTTTATTTCTATTAGGAAACTATGCTCCTTATCCGATTTGCGGTCCAAGTCCCTGAAGCGCTTCGCGCCTCAGCGGGCCGATTATTGAAATTGATTGACAAAGCTATAGACAAAGGAGACAAAAGAGATTTGGAGCGATCCTACTGGTGGAAGCGGGTGGTTGCAATGGACAAAGGGGGTAGGCAATAGACTAACTAACGGCAACCCACGAGGGACCCGATAGTTAGTCCATCATTTTCTCCCTTAGTCTATACTGCCATGCTAGGGAAGAACGCCGTATGAGCCTTCAAGCGTTGCCAAATTTTTTTCGATAAAACACCGATTCCCTGGTAGACTTATGAATATTTTTCTTCCAATTTTTCAGAAAATTTTGTCCGTATTTTGATCTGAGGCTCCTGAAAATTTCAAGGAAAAATATTTATGACTTTCCTCAAAAATAAACGTTTTATCAAAGGAAATTTGGCAACTCTCAAATGTTCATACGACGTTCTTCCTTAGCACGGCAGTATAGGACTCACCCACTTTAACCAATAGAATAGCTCCAAACTCCCTATGTCTTCTTTGCCTATCGCTTTGTCTATCAATCTCAATAATCAGCTCGGAGGCGTTGTGCGCTACTCGTTATTCGCATGATCTTATATTCTTATAATATTTTTATTTTATTACTGTATGTTTGTATGTTACGAAAGTCAACTTGACAACGCAAGAGAATTTTCAAGCGAGGAAAGTTTAGTGATCTATGAACGAAATTCCGAACCAGGATAACATGCCTCTCATTGGTCGTCGAAGTGGAAACCAGGCCCGTGTGCTCGTGTCATCACCGCATTCGAATTTTTATTCATTGGGAACAGGTGTGGGGACACCGAATTTAGTTCAAACTCTCCATTATAGATTTAAAAATAAATCAAAGACCCGTGTATCAGCGATGGTCAGTGGCGATTCTTGCAAGTTGTCAACACTTTTTCTCCTCCATTTATATGTATGACCAACAATCAATTTTTGGTGAGGCAGCTTTCCTCACCTAATATCGATATTTTAAATGGGCTTTAATGGAGGAAAATACAGTGTTGTCAATTTGCCGGTGCGAACGAATTCGAAAGCGCTGCAACGCCATTGATTCAGTTCGTCGTTTTCCTCATAAAAGAAAGGATAACTAAAAATTTCAATGTTGCCAAATTTCCCATCGCCATATTTTCTTTTTTTTTCAAGAGAATCGTCGGCATTCCCAACTGAAAATTTCCCTGATTTTTCTTCTGTTCTTACTCAAACATCAGAAAAATTTTGGGCCGCGTATTTTAATATTTTCCCTTAAAATGTTTACGCAAGCAAGATTAAATTGCGAAGAAAATGCGTGTTGAAAAATTCAACGAAAAAGGTTCATAAGTAATCCAGAGAATTAACATTTTACCTGGAGAAATTCGGCAACGTCCAAATGCTCATACGGCGTTTTTCCTTACCATGCCAGTATGTATTGACGATGAATCCACGAAATCGCGTACCTTGGTTTGCAACGCTGCCAACTTTTTGACATGATTTATCTTCTAAAGGAAAAAACATTCGATGACATTTCTTGAGAATTTATTGGATTTTTAATCCACGTGTGAACATTATCTTCGGAAAATTTCAGGCATTAGTGTCGGTTTTATCCTCTCCGACAAAGGAACATTACTTTTTATTTGAAGTTCACCAAGTGAGATCAATAAATAATTCGCAAAGAGCCCCAGGCCGTTATTTTTCACCACTTCTCTGATTGTCATCGAGTATTACTTGTTTTGGGGCAGTTGAAGCTGCCCATATTTTTTATCTAGAGTCGTCTAATGCCATGATTCTCGCAATGTACGTCTAGAGTAATCATCGACAGATTAATTTACTGATTTTCTGGTTATCAAGCAGCAAGGACGCACTGATAAAGAAAAAAAGATGCCAATACGGCATCTTTTTAATCATATATCTTTTGGATCAGATGGTAAATGCTGGTTTGAATGCTCTTAGAAGTTAACTTTATATTCTGGAAATGTAACGATTGAATTTACAATCGTGGGGAGAATTCAGTTTCCAGGAAATATCATATATCCTGGCTAAATTTGTATCGAACACTCGTATCACACACAGGGGAGCAAAACCTGTGAAACCCGGCTGTTTCGTATGAATATCCAAGGCACGTAGCATCGGCAGCTCGGCTGGAGACAGCTCCGAGACTAACGCGCCTTCAATTTGAATGCCTATGCAATACGCGCTCCGGAGAGTTAAAATAGTTGCTCCCGTAGGAGTTTCGATACTTCAAGGAATTCGCACAGTCCTATTTTGCTCTTGCCTTCCCTGTAGAAGACGCGAATTTTCTGCGGAATCGATCGAACGCTCCTGATTTTATTCTGTTCGATGCTCAGTTTATATACTTACCACCAGTTTGAGGCCAAAAATTACAGGGTTTCATTATTTTTTGTTTCAGCTGAAGTTAAGATGCCGTCGGGGAAAGTGGACAAACCAGTTATCGAAGACAACCGAGATGGAACTGTCAGCGTCAAGTACGAGCCTCGCGAGGAGGGTCTCCATGAACTCTATGTAAAATATAATGGCGAACATGTCCAAGGTAGGACCTCCTATTAACATACCCTGTCTACAGGTAGAAATAACCCTCAGTTAGCAGTGACGAGGCGTGTACGATCGATTATCGATATTTTCCCATTTGAAACTACGGTAAAGAATCGATTATTAAGAGGTTCGTTTCGGACACTCTGTTAATCGATCCTTTTCCACAGGTTTAAATGACAGATTAATCGATATATCGCCAAGCACGCCTAGCCACTCTCCGTTAGTGTGGTAAATGATGAACGGTGGGAATCAGGATTGATTTTGGCGTCTTCTTTAAAGTTAAAACATTAGTCTGAACGAGACTTAATGCTGCAGTTTCTCATGGGAAATAAAGGTGTCAAGCCTTGAAATGGCGAAAAAAGTATACATATGATACATATTGATCTGTCTTCAATCATTTTGAGCTTCGCTTTGTCTCCCATTTATATTTTTTCTGCAATTCTACGGTTGAGTAGTTTCAGTTTTCATTTGAAGATGGTAGTGTTCTGTTATAATGGCTTTAATTGTCAGATAATAGCTGAAATTTATTAAAGGACATGTAAGACGATTTGATTTGTTTCTTTTCTCTGTTAATGTAGGTACCTATTTTTTTATTCTATAATTATCAAAATTTTTGAAAGCTTCATTAAATCCCTCAATGTTTCTTGCTCTTCAGGTTCTCCCTTCAAATTCCATGTAGATTCAGTGAGCAGCGGTTACGTAACAGCTTATGGCCCTGGTCTTACACACGGAGTCAGTGGCGAGCCATCTAATTTCACAATTTCTACCAAGGGAGCTGGTGCAGGTAATGTTTCTTCATTCATTTTGAGGAAGTACGAAATTACTTTCGTTGCTTAAAAAATTAGAACAAATTATCATTAAATTCGAGTCACCTGGTCTAAAATATTCTCATTTGGAAATATTTCTCATGCTTTTTTTTCATTTTCTACATCCTGGTAAGCAAATGAAAAGAGTAGGTGTAAGTGCTTGATCTTGAAGGTTTTAGCTATTTTCGAAATAATCAGCTGAAAAATACATGTTTTTTTCGGCTCACCAGAGCCATACATTTTGCTGCCTTTGATGTCTGGTGCAATCACGCCATATGTAGTTGCTGTTTTGTAATTGCAAAGCATAAGAAAACAGATTTCACTCTTGTTGAAGTAGAAGAAAACTAAAATTAAATAAAAATGCAGGATCCAACTTAAAAGGTCTGAAATTGCAGCAAAGTTTCATCGCAGGCATATATAAAAGTTAAATTGATGGATTCCTTTTTGCAATGGTCAAAAATAATCAATTTTACTCATCAAACATCACACAATTCAAGAAAACATGAAGTCTTTTCTTCGCACTTATTGCATAAACAAACACTTCAAAATGATTGAATCAAGAGCCTACTAGAAACTCCCTTTTTTTCCTCCTTGAAAGTCAATGAAACCTTTTCAGCAACTAGTTGAGCATATCTTGCATCTTAAAGGCTGAATTCATGAACATTAGAAAATTTTTCAGGTTTAAATTAATGTCGCGTTTATTTTATTTTCTTAACTGTCATGTTATTCTAAATAATATTGAATTGTAGAAATACCAATGCTTTGAACTAGATGAAAAGTGGCAGTTTTCTAAACCTTGGATTCGATGATTATGCTCTATCAAAAGTTTTTATGTATTTCTTCCCTTGTCATTTTAGTACTAAGTCTTAGCATTCTGGTGGTAAACTTTTTTTAGGTGGATTGTCTTTAGCAGTAGAAGGTCCAAGCAAAGCAGAAATAAGCTGTCACGATAACAAAGATGGCACTGTTTCTGTTTCTTTCCTACCAACTGCCCCTGGTGAATACAAAATTTCAGTCAAGTTTGGAGACAAGCATATCAAAGGAAGCCCATACAATGCCAAAGTCACTGGTAAATATAACTCCCTATCTCAAGACCCTTAGTTTTTTAATCTTGTTCTTCATATCTATAGGCAAAGAATCGGTGAAGCAGTTACTTCAAGAGAGCACATGAAATAAGTTGCTAAACTTAGTGTACAGTATGGGGGAAAAAAATTGTCTCATTAAGAGGTAAACTAGAGAAAATAATGACTGGATTAGTTGATTATCATTGATAATCATCTGCTTTTACTGAGAACTCTAATTTCTATTTGTGCAAACAAGTAAAAAATAAAAGTAAAGAGGGTTTCAAAACCCTTTCACTACGTTGTGGAATTGAAATTTCACAAATGATATTTGCTTCCTTGATTGATTGATTGATTGATTGATTGATTGATTGATTGATTGATTAATCGATCGATCGATTTGCATATAATAGATTTAATTTGCATCATGTTTGAAGGGCATACTTTACTTTCACCGCGAGCATGAATAAATTGAATCAAAAGCGGTGCATTTAGTGTTCACAAGGAATAATCTTTTCATCTGGTTTTCATCATGAAAAAAAGTAAGAATAGATGATTAGAGGAAGGATGTTGAACACTAAATATGTATCAGAGCTCAATTTGTAATTTTAACTTAAGTATTTTGTGAAGAACTTGTGTTACGTCTTATCCCTCCTTCACTCAAGCTCTTTAGGAACGTAAAACTCAAACTAAATCTCTTATTTTGCAGGTGAAGGGCGTAAGAGGAATCAAATCTCAGTAGGATCATGTAGTGAGGTCTCTTTTCCTGGAAAAGTGTCAGATGCTGACATTAGATCTCTCAATGCATCAATCCAAGCTCCAAGCGGATTGGAAGAGCCTTGCTTCCTGAAAAAACTACCAAACGGCAATTTAGGTAAAAGAAAGTCTTTATCAGTATCATTGATATTATTACCAAACATGTCAAGTGAAAGGGCCCAGAATAATTGTTACGTAATCATCATCTGTAACTTTCATCATTTCAACTCATTTATGGAATCTCCAATTTTGTACCTAAGTACAAGACTCATTCTCCTCAATGTGTATTTTGAATATGTCTAATTCCTGATGAACATTTAACTAGTTTAGATAAAGTATAGCTCCAAACAAAATTTATGAACCTAAATTAACAGGGATAAATACCCAAAAATTGATGTTTAGCTTTCATTAAATGGGAAAGTATCAGTTAATTAGACGGATGCTGTAAATTCAACGTGAAAATTTGCAGGAGGAACTTAGAAATTTGCAAAAGGTGCTCCTTAGTCTTACGTTACCAGATACAGTTGGTGAATTTAGCTCTACAAATGGCTAGAGCCAATCATTGCACCCTTACAATGCAGCTGACTAACGATTACTGACGGCTGATGTAGCATGATGGAAATGATGTAATGCAGATTGCATAGGGATGCCTACAGTGATGTGTCTTCCACTTCTTGAAACTGTAGTTGCTCTCCAGAGCCACAGATCGAGAAATAGATATTTTAAGATAATGCAGTATTAATGCCGTGATTAATCCGTCGCGATTTGTTTTTTTGGGTTTTTATCCTCTTTTGCATTCTAATAAAAAATTATTTATGTGTTTTCTTTTTCAAGCAGAAAACTCTTAAGGAAATTAAACACTGATTTACATTATTTTACCTGTCAAGCAAGAGCGAAAATTAATTTAAATAGCAATACTTTTGACTTACAAGAGACAACTTTTAATCTTAGCAAATACTATTTACCTAACTCTTAGATATTCTCTCAGTCTTAATTAGGAGGTAAATAATGTAATGCCCCTTAATGAACACCATGAACTTATATCTACTTTTTCTTTCAAGGTATCTCATTCACACCAAGAGAAATTGGTGAACATGCAGTGTCAGTGAAGAAAATGGGAAAACATATTGTGAACTCTCCTTTCAAAATCAATGTTGGTGAAAGAGAGGTGGGTGATGCCAAAAAAGTCAAAGTTACCGGGAATGCGCTTAAGGAAGGAAAAACTCAAACAGAAAACTTGTTCACAGTTGACACACGTAATGCAGGTGAGAAATACAAGCTACTTGTATTATATCTATAGTAAATTTTGACGTGGGCAATGCCTCTTGAATTTCAAAGCAGCTCGGTTTAATCCTTAACAATGGCTTAAGAATTCTAATCGTTTAAATTAGATTTTCAATGCTGGGATGAAAATAAAACATTTCACATAATTAAAAGTTGGTCAAATTCAAAATTGAAAAGGTGTAATTTTTAATCTTAAATTAAGTTTTATTATGAGAACAGCGATGTTTATCCAATCAATCAAAATGAGGAAAAAGATCAACAAAAACTGGCTGTGCAAATGTTCCAAGACATTTTTAGATTAATTTCCAATTCAATGCACACTGTACCTTTGATTATTCAAACGCAAGTGGTGATCATCCAATTTGGATAGTTGGAAAGTTCACATTGAAATAAAATTCTGTATCAAATATTCCCGAATGGCAATCATTTTCTCCTGTTTCTTCGTACATATTCAAGCATCACATACTTTTTCCTGTTTTTTGTATTCCCATTTCAAAGAAACAGCCGACATCCAAAAAATACTTAGCCTTTAAAACTTTAAAGGATAAACAGCCTGTCTATCACTGTTGTTTGGCGAATAGAAAATCGATCGACCAGAAAACTCATGAAGAATAGATTAACTCTCAATCGCTCTACGGCTCAATGGTCAGCATGTTGCGAGCAGAAAATACGAGTACATGTTGGGAGAGCAAACAAGTAGGAAATAGGAAGGAGTCATAATGGTGGGTTTGCTCTGCCCACCAAGAGAAAATACATGAAGCGGGTAAAAGTAAAAAACCAATTCTCCCAAACATTAGTTTGAATAATCCGGAGTTTGAATGATAAGCCCGCGTGCCGGAGCGCCGGATAAGCCGGAGCGTGTTGATGTTTGAGTTTTGATAATCCAAGGTTTACTGCATCAACATGTTGATGATGAAGGGATTGATCCTGATGAAAAAAACTGCAGTTTCCCTCTTTATCATTCCAACCTAGTATGTAGTAAGTAATTTTCACATTATCTCAGTGATTCGTTTTAGGCTCTGATTGTGATCAAATTGCATGGAAAATATCGTATTTCAATGAAAAAAATCCGCAAATTTTCAATCTTATGCCAGAAATGATGAAAATGACTACTAGTCCATCAGATAGTGTAACTTAGAAGTATTATTATGGAAGGTAAAGCTGCTCATCAGAGTGATTCTCCCATTTTCTTTCAAATGCTTGTAAAACTTCTGTAGATTTAACTGTTATTATTCGTCTGTGTAGGTTATGGTGGTCTTTCATTATCCATTGAAGGACCCAGCAAAGCAGAAATTCAGTGTAAAGACAATGAAGACGGAACATTGAATATCTCTTACCGACCAACAGAGCCTGGATACTACATTGTCAACCTGAAGTTTGCAGATCACCATGTTGAAGGTTCTCCGTTCACTGTTAAAGTTAATGGTGAGGGCAGCAATAGGCAACGAGAAAAGATTCAGCGGCAACGGGAAGCAGTGCCAATCACAGAAGTTGGTAGTGAATGCAAGCTTACATTCAAAATGCCAGGTAAGTTGAGTATTTAAGTGGGATAATTGTTTTATTTGCTTTTTCAGCACAGGTAGCTTAAAACATGAAGAAATGCACATAAGTGAATCTCTTTTTGTATTGCAAATTGATTAACTTGAGTGATTCTAAACAATCAGCTCATCTATTTTAAAGGAGGTCTCTTTTAAAAATCATTGTGAAAAATCACAGCAAACTGTTTGTAAAAAAATCTAGGTCACCAGGCAATGCTCCTTTAACCTGACATGTTGTTTGAGACTTTTAAATACTGCTATAAGAGGCACTAGATAAATTTGCGTTCGGTCATGGTCTGAATCTTTTACATACTTTTGATCCAGTGATGATGCTGTTGTGTCAAGAAAAAACGCTGTATAAATCCTCAGGCATTGTCAAATTTCCCTTGATAAAATATAAATTTATTGAGAAAGTTGAAAATATTTCTCTTCCAATTTTGTTTGTAATTTACTTAAAATATCTTAAAAATATGCATAGGTTTCTTCCAAAATAAATTTTTTATCAGAAAAAATTGTGCAACATTCAAACGTTCTTACAGCATTTCTTCTTAGCATGGCAGTATGTCGCTTCCTTTTGTTTGCTAATCATTTGAATTTTTTAGCTCCTGATTTGTCAAAAACCGAGAGGTTTTTTGACCAATTGGAGGTCAAGATTTTATTATGTCATCGCAATTGTGTTTCTTTTTTCTCCTGGTTTCATCATGTCTCAATGATGTAAAAATGGTAGTCCAAATGGAACCGTCAGTTTGATAGATCTTGAACTAACACCAATTTTTTTCTTCTTTTTACCCTTCTTTTCTTTCCCAGGAATCACCGCTTTCGATCTGTCAGCAACAGTGACATCCCCTGGTGGAGTAACAGAAGATGCTGTCATCAATGAAGTTGAAGACGGACTATATGCTGTACATTTTGTGCCAAAAGAGTTAGGAGTTCATACTGTTTCAGTCAAATATAAGGAAATTCATATCCCAGGTAATCATGATTTTCAAATCTATTCATTTTCCTTCAGGTCTCTACCAGTTCTGCCAGAAATACCTACAGATGAAGGATTCCCTCAACTAAGTATACTGGCAGCAGAAAACCCATTCTCAAGAGCCATGCGGTATTATGCTGAAATTCAATAATACTCTTGAATTTCTGGCCCAGAGCTTAATTTTATAAGTGTTAACACTGCTAGGATAGGTGACCAATGTAATTGTCCACCTTACACTCTCTCCGACCTTGTTGTGGTATCTGCCAATGAAAAGAAAATTATGGTACAGATTTATGAATTGGAAGGCGTTTAGTAGGTACATGTCTACATACATGTCTTATTTTTCTCTAGGGTCACCATTCCAGTTCACCGTTGGACCTCTACGAGATGGAGGTGCTCATAGAGTACATGCTGGAGGCCCAGGACTAGAGCGTGGAGAGCAAGGCCAGCCGTGCGAGTTCAATGTCTGGACCCGAGAAGCTGGTGCTGGTTCATTGGCCATATCCGTTGAGGGACCAAGCAAAGCCGAAATCGACTTTAAGGACCGCAGAGATGGCTCTTGCTATGTCAGCTATGTTGTCACAGAACCAGGTAATGTGATGTTACTCGCCACTCAAGTCATTTTAATTGATGGTCATTTCATCAACTGTAAAATTTATTTTTCTTTTCTCGTACATACATTGTACTTCCATTAGGCCACAAGAAACGATCAAGGTACCAAATTATGAACCACTAGACAGGATAAGAAATCATTCCAGATAGAAGTGACCATTTCGGAAAGTTTAGCTGCGTTTCTTGATGCATCAATGCTGTGAAAGCATTTTTACGGAAACATCGCAGTAATAGTAATTTGTGAAGCACACTTGTTGTCTTTTGCCTCGGAAAGCCTTTGGCAAAGCTTTCGCAAGGAATATTACACAAGTCTTTCGGAAAATTTTAAGAATAACAGTTTCTGAAACCTCATATCAAAGTACATCAAGAGAAATGTTTTCTAAATACATTTAGGAAATGTTTCCCCAGCAGTGAAAAATTACTTCATTCCTGAGAAACAGTTCTCATAACGTCACTGTAAAGCTAATAAAACAGTATCATGGATAAGCTAAGAAACCTATTTCTTTGAAACCATTACTGAAAAGCAAGGAGTAAATGTCAAAGATGCCTTTCTTTTGAATAATGAAAAGATACAGATGAAAACTGAATGAACAGAAGGATGGGGTAACAAATTAAGTGGTTTCAAAGTTGTATCTAACAGATAAAAAGAACAAACAAAGTAAAAAATAAAAATCGGAAATAAATCAGCCGTAAGTAAAAACTCTAATTCTAATGAAATGTATGAGAAAAGTTCCCCTAGTTCAAGTCATCATCAAGTCCCTTTCACAAAAGTAGATTTTGCCTCATTGTGTTCACCTCTGCTGTGAGCAGTCATGTATCAGTTCAAAGAAGTTCATTTGACTGTTCCAAAACTCACCAATTAATAGCAAAATTCTAGTAACGGCAGACAAACGTAATATTGTTAGCTGCAAATAAAAAGAAAATAGTGTATCAACACTTTTATTGGTACAGTATTTACCTATTTTGAGATAAAAGTTAATAACGAGAAATGTGTGAATAATTTTTTTTAATTAAAAGTAATCTACTTTCTTAATTCCTTTGAAAATCAGCTGTATTCAAAATTAAACCCATGCAATTTTTTTTGCCTTATTGCGTTTTCTGAGTGAGCCAAAAATAAGCTCTCCTGTTCTATTTTTGGCATGCACATGTTTATTGAAAGCAAGTGGGGTTTGAAAATTGCTGCAAATTATGGCACATTCCCAAAAGTCTATTTTTCATAACTATTTCTGGGAGTTGATCATGTCGTTACTTTTTCCGTCAGTTTGTGGAAGCAGTGCTACCAATAACCTCTCATTCAACTCATAGTGTAAATTTTTTTCAAGTAGTAACATTCTAGCTTTTGTCGTGTCACAAATGGCACATCTCTCTTGATCTGTTCTGTGCGGTATTACTTATTAATATTTGCTAGTTTAGTGTAATGAATTTTTTCTACAATTTCTAATATGAGTGCCACAAGTCACAACCCTAGTGCATTCCAAACTTATAAAGTTTGCCAAAATATCAACTTGCAGGATAGTTCCACCAGTTGGGATAATAGCCGAAAAAATGAAGGTAAATGTGAATAATATCCACATTCAGGATAGCATTAGGTCAGTGATAGTCACAGAAGATTCGAATTTTACCCATCTAATTAAGAATTTTAAAATAAATGTACTTATGCTCTAGGGAGAGAGAGGGGGAGAGAGAGAGAGAGAGAGAGGGCTTTTACTTATCGGTTAGATCTTTTGTCCTGGGTGATTTCCCATTCTGATCATTAGTGAACTTATTCTCTATGGTTATGATTTATCTGTTCTGATCAATTATACAGGGTGATCAAAAAGTCCTGCATAACCTCTATTACATTTGGGGTTTTTGCCCCATTTCAGGGTGATCTCCTTACAAATTTGGGAGTTCCAAAATTTGTCTCCTCAGAATTTCGAGTTCCAATCTCATTTTATTGAAAAGTTACACGGCTGCCTCCTGCCAATTGTGTGATAATTTTCTATCACCCTGTATGTACCCAGGTAAAGATGCAAGAGGGAGGGGGGGGATGGGAGTTTCACCCTCAATGTACAGAATATCTTCATGCTGATGAGGTACTAAAACCAGAATCTTCATTTAATTTTGTTGTTGTTTTGTTTTGTTATTCAGGTGAATACAGAGTTGGCATCAAGTTCAATGACCAACACATCCCAGACTCACCTTACAAGTTGTTCATCTCACCTGCCATGGGTGACGCTCATAAATTAGAAGTTGCTCAGTTCCCCGTTTCGGGAGTACAAGTTGATAAGCCAACTCAGTTTCTAGTCCGCAAGAATGGAGCCAAAGGTGAACTTGATGCAAGAGTAAGTATTCGATATTTATTTGCTTTATTCTTTCATTGAGTAAATATACCAGAATCTCACTGGAAACACAGTTATTGGTGATCTTTTCCTTATCATAAGTGTTTTAATTTCATCAAGTTGGAAAAATTCCATAAAATAAGAAGGACATACAACACAAAATCTAAAACATTTGGTCTTGTTAATTAAATTATTTTTCCTATTTCTTAATTTTGTTAAACTAACTTGATTCCTGTACTTGTATCCTCTTTTTCATGAAAGCTTCTTCAATTAATTTCCCTTCTTTTCTTATAATTTCCTTTAAAAAAAACAAATCAAATCTCTATCTGGCTCCTCAATCAGTGGATATTTTTGCAATACCTATCCTTTGATTTTTTCAAAATTTCCCCTGATCCTGATGCCAGCCTCCTTGTTTATCATTAAGTATCAAGTTTGCCTTCGATACAAATTTTCTACTTTCCAAACTTTGTGCTAAAATATCTGATGATGTTGGCAGGTTGTCGCTCCATCTGGAACAGACGATGACTGTTTCATCCAAGCAATTGACCCGGACACATACTCCATCAGGTTTATGCCAAGAGAAAACGGCATCCACAATATCCATGTTAAGTTCAATGGCGTACACATACCTGGCTCGCCATTCCGCATCAAAGTCGGAAAGGAAGACGCAGACCCAGCAGCTGTGCATGCGACAGGAAATGGATTGGGTGATATCAAAACAGGTGAGACTAACATTTAATTTTACAGATTTTATGGTTGCATCGTTATAGAATCTCAATACTTCATTACAGGTGTCAGATGAGATGTATTCACTTTCCCTCTACAATCCAGCTTGGAAGCTCTGATGAATTTTTGATTTTACTGATTCAAAGTTCTTGAAAATCTTTGATTGTAATTATTAATGCTGTCATGAACTATGTTAAAGATATAACACAATTATTCAACTCAGAAATGAAACCAAACCTATTCTATATTTTATAGGAAGAAAACAAAGTTTGATTCCTTTTAGCTTCTACAATTCATATTGTTAAAAGAAGGGGGAGGAAAAAGAAAATAATCTGATACTTACTTAATTTCTGCTTGCAGGCCAGAAAACAGACTTTATTGTAGACACATGCAATGCTGGAGCTGGAACACTAGCTGTAACAATTGATGGACCTAGCAAGGTCTCAATGGACTGTACAGAAGTCGAAGAAGGTTACAAAGTTAGGTACACACCCCTTGTTCCAGGAGATTATTACATAAGTCTAAAATACAATGGATACCACATCGCAGGATCTCCTTTCAAAGTAAACTGCACAGGTAAAGTTTTATCTCAATTCTAGCTTAAAATGTTCAATTTTTTTCTTCTTTTTAATATCTGAATTCGATAATGAATAGGGAACTAGAACTATTCATCTATTTCGAACAGGTCAACTATATTTTTCCCACTTTTTTAATTTGTAATAAAAGTAAAATCCCAATTTTCATACCTGCAATCAAGGGTATGTACGAACTGAATCTTTTACTCTATCAAGCACACTAAAAATTGTCAGGTCAGCGACGTGATTGCCGAAGTTCATGTCAGTATGACAAAACATTGAAGATCAAAGAATTAAACGGTACGAATAGGGCTATATCTTGCCTTATATTGCAAACAAAGCCAGGTATAGTTGCAGCAATCATATTTTTAAATAAAATTTGATTAAATAAAAAAAATATTCTCCATCTGTTCATATTTCTTTTGCCAAAATATGGAGTCATAATTTTTTCAAATGACTTTTTTCTATGACTAAAATATACGATTTGAGCCTATCCAGTTTGGAAGAGTCAAGTATTGTTTTTAACTGTTGCACAGGTGAGGATCTGGCCGAAAGAGGCGCGCAGGAAACATCTTCAGTCGTTGTTGAAACTGTACACAAAGTATCAAAGAGTAGGGCAGCTGGTCCAGTCATCCCTATTTTCAAATCAGATGCTAGCAAAGTCACATCCAAAGGCATGGGTCTGAAGAAAGCTTTCTTAGCCAAACAAAATATGTTCACAGTTCATGCTGGAGATGCAGGTAAAGTATTTATTTTCAACCGTTTTAGTTTGATCTATTTGTGTTTTTGTTTTAGCCACTCTCCACATTATTTTATTTGTGCCCATCAGCTATTGCCTTTAAATGTAGAGTTCTGTGACACTAATTTTGGGCTTGTTAAAGATTTTAAGTGAGAACATTCGAACTGTATTATGATCCTGAAAGTGCTTTTATGTACTTTTTTACATCTTATAATGTTACTCAACTTACTCAAGCAAACCTAAACAATTGCATTAAATACCCTCTGTTCAATGTCCTTAAAAAAAGATTAACCCGTTTAGTGTCATTAAGTCATTCCTTTGAAGTTTCTGCTTCCTGTCTTGTCTATCTCTTATTGCCAACAACCATTTTTGACAGCTCTTTGTGCAATGCTGTCAGGCCAAGTGTCAGTTCAAGTTGGTCTGATTTTGAACATTTCTAAGAATCATTGCTGAATTTTTCAGAACTAAAAAACAATAGCAAGACCATGGTAACAATTAAAGGGCCGCTCCTAAAATGCCTATCACTGAAATTGGATTGTTTGGTACAACCTCCCCCCTCCCGTGCACCCATAGCACAGGTCTTTACCCCTCTTAAAAAATCAAGTTTCGTTCAGTTGAACCCCCCTCTTGCAAATCAGCGTTTTGTGATAAAATTTGGATGAAAAATTGCCACCTTGCATTGATTTTTTATTTTGGATTTTCGAAAAATCAACAATATGCATCCATTTTAGCGCTCTAGCCCTGAATGCCCCTCGCAACCGATCGGTAAAGCAGGCTCAGCCCCTCCTTCCCCATGAAGTATTGCCTTTTTTATGAACAGATCCATAGCATCAGGTTTTTGGAAATTAGGCGTCAAAGTTTTAAAAACAACAATGAAGAGTAAACATTGTGGCATAGAGAAATCCTCACATATTAAGTCTTAATCTGAGGTAATTTCATCGAAGTTAATAGAGGAGATTTTCTCCAAAAAAAGTTCTGTGGGAAGCATTACTTGTAAACATACCAATTTTATGTCAACTAGCTATAGAGCAATACAGAAATGGTTAAGAATTTTTTATTAAACTATAATCTCGTCTTGCAATTTTTCTCTAATATTGTCGGGAATTTTAGCTGCTCTTCCATTCATTTCTAAAAAAATTTGGACCACTGTGAAAGGATATCCATGTTAAGAGCTAAGGAGCTTCAATGTAACTTCCTTTTGTTTTGACTTAGGGTCTGTAGAAAACTGGACGTATGAATATCGCGTGGAAAACATAGACTCACGCTAAAACACCAGTATCTTCTGTCCCTTGCTCCCGATTTTTTATAATTTCAAACTAACAAAACATTCCCTGCAACACCTGATTGGCCCAATGCTGAACAAACTGCGCACCACTGGTACCCACAAGGTGAATTACCTGATGGACCTTAACTTATCTAACCCATAACTTGGGTAATTGGTTCCATTAAACAAGTACACTTAACTGTTAACACACCATCTTTCAAGTCCTCCTCTATGCCTGTCGACTTATGTGCATGTCACAGGATGCAGGGCCACAATCTCCATCTCTAACTTATGACTTCGTTTTCAAATCTTACTACTTGTTGATATTTTTCCTCCCCTCCACCCTTGAACTTTTTTATTAAGTAATTAAATTCTGCCTCCGCTGATTTACCGTCTGGTGTATATCGCGGTCTCTGCGCACATTACACTGCATCCACCGCCGCCTATAGCTCATAGTATTAACAATCCTAAAAAAATTCAATGTGGACACAGTTAGCAGATCACATCAGTTTAGATCTGTTTATAAAGATCTGTTTAATGATTTTTCAATAATCAATTTAAATTATGAACCATGCTCTGCTTATTTTGATCCTGGGTCAGAACTTCTTCTTGTAACCTACATCAAAATCTTGTAATTCCCAAATTTGTCCCTATTTGGCATAGTTTTGAGTGGGCAATGGCTTTGTAGAGAAAATAGGTAGTAAAGTGACCACAGATGAAGTTTTAAATAGCACTGTAGTTAGCATTGTTTCTTTTAAAATCTTTAGAGCTATTCAAAATTTCATTTCGCAAATTATACTTTTACCAGAACTAATCTTTCTCAAATCTATCTCATTTTAGAAATTAAGAAAAAATTAAAGTGATCATGAATATGGTCTTAAAAATTATTGTCAGCCTTGGCTTTTACATAAGTTACAGCATGGACAATCATTTATGCAACACTCTCGTTTCAATTAACCTCTCTTACTTCGGAAATAATAATAATAATAATAATAATAAGCTGCGTGTGCTCAGCTTGCGGCGAAGGAATATACGGAGCGTCATGACACCATGGGAAAAATAGTGTATCAAGCCTTGGCAAGTAATTGCGATCTGTTGGAGAATCCGGAACCTTACTATCGGTATAATCCGCCACCTGTACTTGAGAATCAGCGATATCGCCTGTATTGGAACAACCCAGTCCTAACTGATAGGATGGTTATGGCTAATAGACCTGACGTCATCTTGATAGATAAACAGGCGCGTGTTGTGCAGCTCTTGGATTTTAGCATCCCTAACGGACACAATTTGTTGTCGAAGTATGAGGAAAAGATATCAAAATATATGCCTCTCTCTGTGGAAATTAAGAGAATTTGGGCCGTGAACATTGTCTATATTAGGCCTATTATCATGTCCGTCACAGGAGTCGTACCGGAGAGCCTAATTAAACACCTAAAAGAGCTAAAACTCCCGGATCACCTTCTCCACACCATGCAGAAGTCAGTTATTCTCAGCACCTGCAATATAGTTCGGAGTTTCCTTAACATGGAATAGTCCCCTCTCTTTCATCTCTCTAATTTCTGTTTTGGTTTTTTAGTTTTCTATTCTTGAAAATCTTAATTGTTAGGGCATAAACAGGACCCAAGACTCTAGTCTTTGACTCGTCTTGGGCTCTTAATACCAGGAAAAATCCTGTGAGGGAAAAAAAAAAAAAAAAAAAAAAAAAAAAAAAAAAAAAAAAAAAAAAAAATAATAATAATAAAAAAATCTGTCAACAAAAAAATTACCCTTGAAAACTACATTTGCATGTTTAGCATGACTAGAACTATGCCTTGCGAAAAACACCTTGAACTGGCAATTAGCAATGGGCAGTTTCATTGAAGTCAAGATATTTTTCTGTTCCCATCAATTAAACTAAGATTCTGATGCATGGCATGACAAAAGAATGAAGTGGTTATCAGCTCTACTTAAAATTTTTTGAACACTTTTAATTTTCTGTGAATGGTTGTTTGCTTACTCATTGAAGAATAACTATTATAGCATTTATTCATGGTATGAATATAAATACAATCTCTATCAGTGAATTACCTATTTAACTCTAAATAAAGTGTTCTTTAACAACCTCCTACCATTTATGACATTCTATAATGCAGCTCTGAAAATTTCCCTGGCAGTCATGTAATGTTGGCTCGAACAGCCCCCCCCNCCCCCCTCTAGTTTTTGAATGATGTCACATAAAGTTTTGAGTTATAGTGTATTACGTCAGTGTTGTTTTAATGTCAAAGAAAAAAGGTATTTTAATTGAAAAAAATACTTTGGAAAATTAATAGTTATTTGGTTTATTTAGACATTACGCTAAATGTGTTTCCTTACTTTAAGAGTGTGACAAGTAATCAGTTGTCCTCAGTTTAGCATTGAGAGTAGATACAAGATGGCAGATCTTCTCTCGGACTCTAAAGTGTGTAAACTTATTTGGCGTGGACTCTATCAATATTTCCGTGGGAAAAAAAATACTAATTTCCCCACACTTTATTTCCATGAATTTAGTAACTACCTGAATAACTTGTTTTGTAATGCTCTGCTGATAACTTTCCCAGCTCCTAGCCTTAATAACACTGCATAACGATAGCGGGAATACAACCCCTCCCCTCTTTAACTGAATTGACCATCCTTTGCCCCTCTGTGACTTGGAAATAGTTCCTATGCTCATCCTGAAATTTTTCCGAAGTATTTTGCAATTATAAGTTTTCATTTAAACCTCAAAAAAAAAAAAAAAACCCAAAAAAACCCCAAAAAACCCAAAAAATAAATTTACCGTCCAAAAACAAGTGAATGATGGCAAAGGCCCTTTCATAAGTAGATTTTCTTAAATTTTAATGAGAAAGAGACATGCTAAACCCTGACTCCTGTCAAATAAAAATACCAATTGTATAAACTCAGGTCTCTAAACTTGTATCAATCCAGTGTTTTACAGTATTGTGAAAAAATCAATTTTGTCTACTACATCTCTTTACTAATAATGTATTATTTATTCATTTATTTGCCAACAGGAAGCAACATCCTTTATGTTGGTATTTACGGACCAAAAGGTCCTTGCGAAGAAGTCTACATCAAACACACAGGTCAGAACAACTATCAAGTCAATTACCGGGTAAGAGAAAGGGGAGACTACATACTGATCATCAAATGGGGTGATGAACACATCCCGGGCTCTCCGTTCAAGGTCGATGTCTAAGCAATGGTGAAGACTGCTCAAACTCTTTGTAACAAGATTTTACATACCACTTTCTGAAGAATGTACAAAAGATCAAGAAATGTAAAAATAGTTCTTTAAGACGTAAGTAAGAAGTCTTTACCCTCAGCCAGTGAAAATGAGATCCACTCAAATGTATGAACGCTTGGTTTCTGTTGATATTATTACTTTCACAGAATAGTTTTTTAAAAGTTAGGTTGAAAAGGGATGCTATTAAAGATTTTGTGTCCAACATTCTAAGAGGAACTTCATTACTCTCTTGCTCATTATCGTTCTTTTTCAAACCTGCTTTTGAACTTGTGTTTTTTTCCGTTATGAGAACATAATCAGGTGCCTTAAGAAGCTCATTTACAGTGAAATTGGAATATTTTGAATCTCAATTTGTGCCTTAATTTTTTGTCATGCTTTATTTTTTCAATGGAAAAATAATGAACACTGCATGTGCCTTAAAAATTCCCTGATTCTTTTCTCACTGTGCAAAGAATTTTAGTGAACATTTGAAGCAATGAGGTTAAATTTTTTTCCTTTTTGAAGAATCAATTATGGACAAAAATTTAGAACCTCTGCAATCAAAATGTTATTTCTAATGTGGCCATTGACTTGAGGATAGTGAAAGTTGAGAAACTTGTATTTTGATTTGGGTTGTTGCAAATCATCTTTCACATTTTATTTTCTTCAGTAACTTCTGGTTTAGAGAAAACAACCATCATTATTCCATAAAACTTTGTGTGGTTCATCTTTGCTCCATCAAAATAATCATTGGGAAATTTCTTCTAAAAATGCTGATCCGCCACATTTTTTTAAAGTATTACGCAAGTTGAAATTTTGAAATATCCCAATCTTGGAGTTACATGTTTTTTTACGCCACCATCAATAATTATGTATTTCATCTAAAGCGTAAAACTCTTGAAAAATATATTTTAATATATAATAAATAATGGCATGATGAGTTTCTTTTAATCTTTTTGCTCAGTCTTTATAAGCAATTTTATAAGAATTTTTAAAGTTAAGTTGTGAACTACTTGTATCCACTGTCAAGGGCAGGCCCGTATTTGTCTCAAAACCTAGGTATGCTCTAGAAAGAACATTTTTTCTAATCGGCCTTGCAGCCCTGTTCACTTCTTGAAACACCCACAATCATGTATATTTTCCCCCATGAATTTTGATCATCATGATTAAAAATTTTATCCCGTGCAATAAATTTTAAAGATTTAAGAATTTTACCTCTACCTAGTAAAATTTCAATGGTCTTAAATTGATTCAAACTAAGTAATGTGCGAGTTTACAAAAATAGTGCTTAGTCAAAATAAGTATCATTATAGTGAAAATGATTCTCATGCGAAATTTTAAACCCACCTTTTGATGCACAAATTTAAACATGACAAGCCTTGTTGTTGAATCAGCCATTTTTTTTGAAATTGCTTTATTCATTCTTTTTTCTTCTCCAGCTTATTCTTCGGTTTTTGTTGTTTTCATGCAAGCTCCGAATCAAATTTTATTATCAAAGTAAGCTAAGTTTTTATGTAAGCCTGAAGATGTATGTGCCTTATTGCAAAAAGCATAATATTTATCAATTTTTGATCAATTTTAATCAGCTCTTTTCATAATTGACATGAGCCAGTTTTGATTAAAGTTAGGTTAAGATTTCTTCATAATTGCCTTGAAATCAGTTTTATTCTTTTTACATTTTAGTCATTCATTGAATCACTGTTTCTTTGAGAGTCCCTCATCAAAAATTATCGTTCATTAATTACATATTAAGTTTCTCTTTTTTTGTTATCTTTTTATTGTTATTTATGTTTCTTTTTAATAAGTTGTTAAAATATTTATTTTTCATCCTTTTAGTAAAGATTTTGTAAAATTCATTGCCATTTAACATGCTTCAAAAAGTTATATATTTTCTGTATAAATATTAGTCATCCCTTTTTTAATATATTTCAGACGTATAATGTTTCTCCTTTATCCTTTCATCTTTTCATCATAAAAATGCTCGTCATTTTTTATTCTTCTTTATTTTCAGTCCATCAATGTCATTGAACTTTTTCTACTCACATAATTTTTATGTTTGCTCACCTTCATATCAAACATCAATAAAGACTCATTTCAAGAAGACGAGACTTATTTACTGTACATAACGATGGGCTAAGTGTGAAATCATGTATATTTCAGTTTGTGACTTTGCAGACTTCCTGGCATATTTTTTGTTTCCTTGGTAAACTAGTCAACATAATTTCTTGTAAACTTCCTTGAGTTTCTTACTCTGTCAGCAGAATATTCTGTAAAAATGTAAAATCATGAAGTTGCTTTGTTTCTCTACAAAAAACTAGGAACTCTGGAACTCTGCAATGGAGGTACATTATTTTGCACTTTAGCCATCGATATTTCTATTTTCATTTTTCCTCCCCAAAAAAAACCAAATGAAGATCTATCTTACAGAAGTCAACCCTATGTGTCGAGCAAAAAGTGGTTGCAGAAACCTCACAACGTTACTACTAAAATTAACATTGCAGCAATGTTTTTGGAACGTTTTTATAACGTTATTTTTCTCCATTGCCAGTCGGTAGGTGAATTGAATTTCGCGGAATTTTGACTTAAGATTTATGAAACCAAAGTTGACAGGTACATTTTATTCAAAAGATAGTTCAATTTGATCCACCTCAGGATTTTTAAGGGTAGGTCTTAGAAACAATTCCCTGACATGACATAACTTTCGCCAAAATATCAATTTGTAGGCAGGAGTTCTTTAGAGCATTTGAGAGACCACTGAACAGTTTTTTTGTCTTGCTTTTTTTCCAAAATGATTATTGATTTGGATACATCATTGCATATTTTCAGCAGACTTAACCCTGCCTTTTCTCAAATTTTAAAAATAAAAGAGACCTCGCCGCGTTTTAATGACGACGTAGAGATACAACTATTAGTTCTCAAAGGAAATCCGTGTTGCATCTGCAAAATTAAAGATGCCATGGCAAGGTACATGATGCCACTAATGAGATGTCGCTCAGATTCGGGAGAAAAGTGAAAGAACAAAGCCCGATTACGTTTCTCCTATGTTCGGCTGTTTTGCTCAAGTAGCCCTTTGAAGCACCACTACAAAAAAAACAGGCGGAAACAAAACATGGAAATAGAGTAAAGGGAAGGTCGCGCGTTGATATCGGCGCAGAGATGCAACTACTTGTGCTTGATGGATGTCCGTGATGCATCTACAAAATTGGAGGCGCGATGGCGTGAACTCGCAATGCTCCGCTTTGTGCTGCCGAGGTGTCGCTCAGATTCGGCAGAAAAGTTATAAAACGAGGCCCGATTACGTCTTTCCTATCATTGGCAGTGTTGACTCTCGATTCTTTTCTTCCTCTCAATTTTATGTCTGATTATTTTTGTGTATGGATGAATTTGTAGACCTATATCTGAAGCTCATTTGTACCGGCATCATGTAACTCCCTAGAGAGAGATGAAGTCAGGTCAATTTGACTTGACTTGGAACTTATCGGGGTACTTAATGGGCAACAACCCTAGTAGCAGTGGCTGTTGAGAAAAGTTGTAAAAAACTCGTTTAAAATCACTTGAGAATTACGTAAAAAAAAAAAAAAACTCTTGAAATATTCGTATTAGGAAACCTTTTTTGGAGCTTTTTTTACATAAATCTGAAGAAACATTTTAAGTAATTTTTAAGTAAATTTTAAGTAAATTTTGAGTAAATTTTTTACGTAAATTTTAAGTAAATTTATTACGTAAATTTTAAGTAAAATTGACGTATTTTTTTTTAATTTTCTGCGGGCAAAAACGAGGAAAAAAAGCGGTGAACAGGAAAGTGTAGAAGGAACAGTGTTGCAGCCTATAAAAATCGAGGATAGGTATAGTTTACTGCTTTTTACGTAAATTTTACGTTTTTGTTTAATTAAAATAACACTATTTTTTTACTTAAAAGAATTTCCCGACAGGATTTCCTAAAGCGAGTATTTTAAGAGTTTTTTTTTACTTAAAATTTACCAACTCTTAAAATTTCCAAGTTTTTTACATTTTTTTTGACAACTTTTCGTAGAAGTTTTTCTAAGAGCCATTGCTACTATAGGGAAAAATTCTCTGGCATTGGATGTTTTTCTTTTTTTTTCCAATTCGATACCTGATCCCTTTTGTTTTTACAGACCTACAATCTGAAGCATGTATGTACCACGGCCCCATACAAACCGCGGGGTCAAAAATTTGACCCGGCTTGGGCAGGGCCGATTTAAGGGGAAGGCCACATGGGCCGCGGCCCATGGCGGCAAATTTTGCAATTTTTTTAAATGTAGGTATTAGAAGAAAATTCAATTCAGAAAAAAAATTACGAACGAGAAAAGGCGACAAAATCTCTCATTTTCGGAGAGTATAATAATTTCTAATTTTGTCGTCTTTCGGTGAAGCAAGAGACAGCACTTTTAATTAGTTAAGAGTTAAGACAGAAACCAAACACGCAATTTGGCATGGAGCGGTGCTGCGCAGAGAGCAATATTGACGAGGACTTGATGTGAAAAGGAGAAGCCCTTAGCGCGGCGGTCGGCATGCAACACATATTAGCGCCTACAAGACTGCGTGAATACTTCACACATTGCGTCAAACACAGTGCCGTGGCGCGGCGGCGGAGTTAAAATCATTAATCCATATTTTATATTTGTTCTTTCAAAATTTTTTCGTGAAATTTCCTGTGAAATTTCACGAACTTTCATTCGATTCACTTTCATTTAGCAACTCTGCTGGTATCGCTCGTCGGAAACATGAGCGTCAATTTAAAATTTAGCGCCTCTTCGAAAGTATGTAAGAAACTCAGTAGAGCGCAGCACACACAATGGAAGTTTTTGCGTGTTGAGGATGTTGCAAAAATATGCGAATTTGACTTGAGTTTGTTTGTAACCGGGAGCTTTTCCTTACCACTTTCGTTTAAGATCGCGAACATACGCTTTGCGAAAAGTTGAATCGTTGCCCGAAGGGAACGACCTGAAAGTTCCGTAGTTATTCTTTATAAGGAACGTTGGAGTAGGTCTTGTTTTCATCAATCATTTGTGAATGTGAACAGGTGAAGTGTGGCATTCTGGCAGTGTGTCATTCAGTCGTGATAAGCTTTTCGCCCTTTTGTTTTTACTTTTATTTTTTCGTTAACTATTCTTTTGTTTACTTAAATTTTCAATATGAATCACTTTGTCAGTAATCAAGTTACTCCAGCTCTAAAATCAGCTTGGTACCTTCGAAGTAAGTACCTCTGAAATTCCATCATTCCTAATGGAGCTTTGTGCCATAACCTAGACAACATCTCGTAATCTCCATGATTGACCGCTAATAATGCGGATTACATTATCTTTGCACCTTGAGTGTGTTTGTTCATTACCTCTTTCACTTAGCGAGGCAATTTTTCCAACATTCTGAGTGTCGCATGGCATAAAAATTCTGCGTCCAGAAGTTCATCATCTTGAGTCTACTTTACATCAGCCTTTTTACTGTCTTAGTTTGTATATTAATACAGACAAGCATGGCTACTAGAACTTTCTTAAAGTCATTCATTCATGGTACGCACTACCCTCAATGTTGCAAGCTGCTTCACAGTCAATCATTGTAAAATATTTATCCTAACCTCAAACAATCTGCGATCACTTGCATCATACTGAAACACATCAGGATAACATGAATTTCATCAGTAATGATAGGATAGTGACAGTCTCCTATAATGTCCCTCGCAAATCTGTCATCGTTGTACATATGGCTTACACTGTAATCATAAGTAGACGCATCCATTGCAATTTTAGGTTTGTTTACATGTGTGTTTCGCTCCGTATTGGAAACGTACTCAATACGTCATGGATTGAAACAAGTAAGGACATTCTTAGATCTCTGATGCTCTGTTGGATTCTTAACCATTAGTGCCGTCCTAAAGTACGCAAAGTACATCATGAAGGATCTGAGAATGCTCCTCACTTGCTGTAATCCACTGCATATTAAATGCGATTTTAATCTGCATTGAAATACTCGTAAACGCACATAGTGATGTTGCAAAATTTTAGCTGTAGAGGTCATTGGATAGCTATTTGACTAGCTAACTCTGTATGAAGTTGGTTTATCACCAATAATTATAACGCATCTACAGCCAATGAATGCTGGTTATACCATACTCTCTAAAAGCTTTCTTGTAACTCAAGTTTTGTCTATACTCTACATTCTAGAAAGAAACTCAGAAAACACATACTGTATTATTACAGTATAATGTATATTACAGTATACTGTTTATTACAGTATTTCGTTGATGTCGCCTCTCAATTTCTTTGTAATACTTAATCATATCAGTATCTCTGATTAAAAAGGTACGCAAGTCACATTCTGGGGTAAATTATATGCATGTTACTTTGGATATCATCATTGACAGTTTCATGCAAGGAAAAAATTTCATATCCCTATCTGGCAATGGTTGTGAAGTATGAAACGCAAAAAATCGCAATTTTTGTTTGAAAAGTGGGTTTGTCCTTGTATTTTAATGTTCAATAATTTTGGAGTATAACTGCAATGTTCTATTTTCCAGATTTGTGTGGCTGTCAAAGTAGGACAGGTAGTGCCAGAACTTGCGATCTCGTCTTCAAACTTCCTTGTCCCTTAATGAGTCTCAGGTGCACTCGATTTTATGGTACTTACCACAGCAGATGTCTTGGTGCTAGCAGCTCAGTTTTGCAAAATTCCACAGATACCAAATATGATACAGGCACCTTTAGAAACTCAGCAGCCCCTGTTCAGCTGCACTCTTTGGATCTCTCTCGAAGTTTCCGCACATTCAGCCCGTTATACTGCAGCCCACTGAAACCATCATCCAGAGTGGAAGAAACAGTTTCAGCTCTCAAGGAAAAAGCGAAGGAGAAAGTTGAAGCCACGAAAAAAGAACAGGCAGCAGAGCCTACAGTAGTGGCAGTGCCGCCTAAGAAAAGTTTGAAGCAAAAAATAAAAGATGAACTTTTGCATTACTATCATGGTTTTAGACTATTAGGAATCGATATTAAAGTCTCATCAAAGCTTGTTTGGAGAGTTCTGAATGGAAAGAGCTTGAGCCGCAGAGAATACAATTTGGTAAGTTCTTAACATGCATATTGATGGCCAGAATGTGGAATTAAGTATCTCCATTGCGATGTTTTAAAATTTTCGCTTCTGTTGAATTTTTTGAAAAGAAACAATCAAATTATATAGCTTGAAATATATACAGAATGTTTAGGTAACAAAGAAGAAAAATCCAGGAAACTTTTGAGAAATTTCAAAGAAAATATGAAGTTTGACAGGGAGTCTGCTATGTTGCGGAAGGAGACACAAGGTTTTGCACTTTGGCTATTTATATCATAATAAGTTTTTCAACTCTCTTGATTTTATCATGAAATTTAGTTTTCCGCCTATCAAGGTCAAATTTTAGATAGAAATGAACATAGAAAGGGACGTCACCCATCTAAATGTTGATTCAAGAGGGCACCTTTTTTTCTTGGATTTAATTCTTACCTACTAGAAAATATTAAGCCCTCAATATGCTAAGCTGCTTAGGATAGTTCATATATTGTTCAATGTGTAAATATTTTCAACTTCTCTTAGAAGTCTAAATTCAGAATTCTTCAGGGGTCTGCAGACTTTACCTACTGCAGCTTCGAGAAGATTATTTAAAAAAAATAGTGTATTTTTCCTTCAGAAAATACACCAAAAAACCTGCTGCAAGTATTTATTGTCTGGTAATTGCATCATCATTTTGTGCTTAATTTTTTCATCAAAATTTAATTTACTTGAGCCTAATTTCATCAAAACTTTATCTGAAAATTCTTAATTACTCTTATTTAAGTTTTTGTCACTGTGTGATGGCGAATTGAGAGCGACCACATTTTTTCAGCTATTACAGGATGTGTTGTAATTTTTTCTTCTGTTCTTTTTCTTTTCTAGCTTGTCAGAACAATGTCTGACATGTTCCGTCTTGTTCCTTTCTCCGTTTTCATCATTGTTCCTTTCATGGAATTCCTTTTGCCCGTGTTCATCAAATTTTTCCCAGGAATGTTACCATCAACTTTTCAAACTTCTTCAGATAAAGTAAGTCTTGCCTATCAATTTTAGCCTAATGATTCTTGCCTTTTGCATAAGAACTTAATGATGAAATATTGATCTTCTAATGGATTGAAAACCTATCTCCTGTTGACTTTACTTAAGTGTGTAAGTGTCGACATGTGAAAGTGGTTTTATTGGTAATTAAACTTCAATTTATACAGAGATGTGGAAAGTTCCCACTTCCCTGTTATTCAATAAGCTCTTTAAGCTTATGAAATTCCTTTTTAAGGAAGAGCTCAATGCTGGTCAAAGTATGTGCTCATCAGTCTTCTTCACAAAAGAAAACACTTTGGAATAAAGTTTTCAGTTTTGCTGCCTAGAACTAAATGAACTGATTTAGCCAGAATCAGCCTGACTGTATTTTCCATTGCCTAATGTACTACTAGACAAGGTGCTGCATTTAAACATTATGTATGATGTATGTTTTCTAACCAAAATTTCACATGGAACATGATTCATGCAACAAATATTATTGAAAGTAACTCCTAGCATAGATATAAATGCGTTTTGATGTGTGGATTTAGATCTCCCACTCATTAGAAAAAACCATAATCTACTCGAGTTAAATTGCACACAAAATGTTACCGTGACATGTGCAGTATTTGCAATGGTACCATAACTCATTTGCTACAGTAGTGATTAAGAGTGATGTAGTTAGTCTAATATCCAGAGTTCAAAACAAAGTGCTAATTACGAGTATTTAACCATTCAAACAACTTCTTCACATTTCATTAATAGTATGGAATTACTTTGTTTTATGGTCAGTATTTATTTATATATTTTTTTTTTTGTAAAGGAAGCAAAAATTGTACAAAACCTAAAAATCAAACTGGAAATGGCAAAGTTCCTTCAAAAAACTTTGGACAACATGTCAGTCCATGGAGTTGATGATGGCAACCCATCAGAGTCAGCTGCCAAACTCGCAGAATTCTTCAAAAAAGTAAGTTTTTTTTTCATATCCTTCTTTCTTGCTTTGCTTTGCCACAGAAATACCTCATGAATAATGTCACAACATCAATAAGGAGCAAAATTTGTAAAGGCATATTGCTAAAAAATTGAAATCTTTTTGTCAACAGTCAATGCCAGAAGAATAATATTACTGTCTTTACCATGTGTGTCTTAAATGCGATTAAAAATGCTAATTAAATTACTGTGTACACTGTAATTGCTTCAAGTATCCCTAGAAATTGGACCTATGTTGAGAAAAAATGTGTGCAGAAAAAGTAGAATTTATCTCGGGAGCCTGTAGGTCAAATTAGAAAAACTCATAACTTGTCATGAAACTGAGAGTATGATCAGTAATTAAAACTTCTTAAAGTTTTGTGAGAAACTATCACAATCTGTATTTGCTGTGACAAAATAAAAACTGACTGGGATACCCTTGTATCAGTCAATGTCACGTCCAAATTGAGCTTCTGATTTGCTAACATCTAATTTGGTTCATGGTACAGGAAATTATTTCTTAAATATTGATTTTTGGTTTTTGTTTCATTCATGCTGGCGCCATTTGCCCAACTTGATGCGAAACCTCAAATCTAGCATACAATATTCAAAGGGGGGGGGGAAGGGGCTCAGAAAATTAAATCTCTCAGCAGTGTCTTAATTGTTTGTACATAATATGAATGAAGAAATGTTCAAAAGCANTTCAAGTATCCCTAGAAATTGGACCTATGTTGAGAGAAAATGTGTGCAGAAAAAGTAGAATTTATCTCGGGAGTCTGTAGGTCAAATTAGAAAAACTCATAACTTGTCATGAAACTGAGAGTATGATCAGTAATTAAAACTTCTTAAAGTTTTGTGAGAAACTATCACAATCTGTATTTGCTGAGACAAAATAAAAACTGACTGGGATACCCTTGTATCAGTCAATGTCACGTCCAAATTGAGCTTCTGATTTGCTAACATCTAATTTGGTTCATGGTACAGAAAATTATTTCTTAAATATTGATTTTTGGTTTTTGTTTCATTCATGCTGGCGCCATTTGCCCAACTTGATGCGAAACCTCAAATCTAGCATACAATATTCAAAGGGGGGGGGGAAGGGGCTCAGAAAATTAAATCTCTCAGCAGTGTCTTAATTGTTTGTACATAATATGAATGAAGAAATGTTCAAAAGCAGGAGTGGGCAAGCAGGCGGGAACACTGGGAAAAATCGCGGTGAGCTAGTTGATATCTAGAATGATTTCGGAACGGTTTGTCCTCTCCTTACGGCTAATATACAATTACACAGGGTTGGTATTCCTGGTAAATTTTTTAGATCCAGTCGGCTGCTGTTTGAAACAACTTGGAAGGCACAGCTAAAATACCGAATCTAGCAGTTTCCAGATTGCATGGTCGGCAAAAAAATCTTTGAGAAAGTGGGAAACTTTTCATCTAATGTATGAGCAATAAAATTGACAGAATCATATTGAAGGTCTAAAAATTTCTTTTTACTTGCAAACATTATGAGCACTTTTGACTGTCTGAAATGTGAGGAAAATCTCTATACACAGGGCTATCTCGAGGGTATTTTGGAACCCATGAAAACCGCAAATTCGCCTCCCCTCCCCCTCTTTCAGTTAATAAGTAGATGGGAGATAAAAAATGAAGTATATTTTAGGGTCATCACCCAAAGACAAATTAGTAGAACTACGCTTTTTTTTTTAGAATTCTGTGTTGGAAGTTATGATGTTTGAAAATTATGTGCTAAAAAGATTATGAGAATTTCTTAAAAGTTACAGAAATAAACGAAATAAGAGAAATTCAGGCACTCCTGCGGTTGATGCCCCTTGCAAGTCCATACTTTTCGTGCCCCTTGCGACAAGCTTGAAAATAAAGAAGTAATTCTCGAAAGTTTAAAAAAAAGCAACCACTTTGTCCTTAAGTTAAATTCAAGATCTTAGTCAAGATCATCCTCAAATATTTTTGAAACAAATTTGAAAGGAAATACTGCAAGCCAAAAAAATGTCAAGCCAAGTAGTTTTTTGCACCTTTAAACGAATATTACAAGACTTTCTTGCTTTTCCCAAATCATGATTTTTACATGGAAATGTTCAGAAATTTTAAAACAATCAATTTATCAATTTGGTGTTGTAACAGTCAACTAGAATCATCAGTTACATCGTTGCAAAATTGCATCTTTGCTTTCTCGGCAGACTCATGCTCGTGGTTTTTTCCTCCTTCCCAAGCTTCCGTATCCACCTTTAAGAAATGTGAACTGTCATAGAGAACTTGCATCATTAACCAAGTATAGTACATATGTGCTTGATCAGGGGCTGAGTACAGTGGCATGTTCTGATATCTTGTAGAGAGTTTTATCAAAACGGTCAGTGGTGATGATTGGCTCAGCAAGTTTAAGAGAAGGGAAAACAATTAATCCAGTCAAAAAAAATAAGTTATCTTCCAATTTGCAAGTTCATGACCTCTTTATCTTCCTTCACTGTCACAATGACACGGTTTATTCACCATGATTACATGCTCAATAAAGTAATCAGGTGGGGAAAATATCTGTTTCGTTTCGAAAAGTTATGAGTGTTTTAAGTATTTCATAGGCATCCAATATTTACCCATTACTCTGAGTAGCTGTTACAGTGCATTTAAAAGACAAAACACCAATTATTTTGAGACATTTTTGAGTCAATTAAAATACCTCCGAAAGTAGGGAGGCCTCTCTTGCTATCAGTCAAGGGGCTAAATTTTGAAAGGGTAGAAATTACTTTGAGTAATTAATGAAAGGTTTTAGAGGAAATCATCAACCATTAAACGCAGTCCTGTAGAGCTAATTCTAAAAATACGCTAAGTTGCGGTTTTTTCAGACCAGCCAGAAACCCTGGTGTTTTTTTAAGTGTTTGAACTAACAATAAGTCATGTTGATTTCACTTTTCGATTATGATGATTAACCTATCAACATTTTGCTTTAACAATCAAACTGTTACAAGTGAATTCTATTTTATTTATTCACTAGTACCAGTGCTCCTCCAAATTATGAGCACTTCCTAAGAACACACTTTCGCAAATCTAAGTTTTCAATCAGATGAGAAATTTTTCACCACTGAGTCAATTTTGTATTTCTGGCAGAATAACTGCCAACAGTTTTTATGAATGACATGTGATCTGTACCCGGTTACCAGTAAAGTGGTGCCATTCCATGAGTGTTATTAGCTCTTGAACAGTGATTTGCTGTTTTCAAGGTTGCCCAGTCTCAGAGTCTGTGTGACCTTGATCTTCCCCTCTCCCTCCCCTCAAGAAGTTTCCACACTTTTATCTTGAGCTTTCCTACCTGGTTTATCGTTCATTTATCGAATTTGAAAGACTTTGGAGGGTAACTATTGAGTGTTGTCAGCTTTTCTCCATTAGCTACTCACCATCACAAAGAGATCGGAGGGTTTAAAAAAAGTCCTCAGCTCATTTATTTTTTCTTTTCTTTTTTATTCGTCATTCATTCATTTATTATCATTTTTTAAATCAAAACTTTCGTTTCTTCTTAGCATCTATCACTGTAACAATTTTATAATTTTAAAAATTTTAGCATTTTAAATATTTCTGATTTTGTTTTACCGTCTTTTTCACAGCAAGGAGATCAAGCCTCGTGATTTTACTCATATCCTGGTGTATCTCATGCTTAGACTAGGATAATGTTTCAATTACCCAATTCATTGCTTGGTCCAGGTATTTTCAGTTTGCTGTGGTAAGAGGATGAAAAAATAACTGCTCTCACAACTTATTTTTAACCTTCAAAAAAAGTTCAAACATGCTCGCGGAAACCTTTAAATTTGATTATTTTAAAGGTAATAAGGAATGTTACCTGCTGTAAATTAAATCAAATTAAGAAATTAAAGAGGTATGTAATCAGAAGCAGTTGTTCTGAGAAGCTGTTTGCATTTTATCAATTTTTATGTTGACTTCGGATCATCAACAAAGGGCTAGTGGTAAATCGTTCTCATCATTTGTCTTGTTTTTTCTGCAGGTCAAAGAATCAAGGGGAATGGTGACAAGTGAAGAAATTCTAAAGATCTCTAAACTCTTTCGGGATGAAATCACTCTCGATTCATTGTCCAAGCCTCAACTGGCTGCTTTGTGCAGAGTCCTGGAAATCCAACCCATAGGAACGTCCAATGTACTTAGATTTCAGTTGCGAATGAAACTGAGAAGTTTAGCTGCTGACGACATTGTAAGTGTATTTTATAGATTTTTTGAAATCAGATTCTTTTTGAATGATGATAGGAGTAAGCCCATGATCCTGCCATAGGATCTCTTTAGATTCAAAACCTTAAAAACTCAAAAGCGCATAAAGAAGCCAACATTGCAATTTAAGGAATTTTCCAAATTACTAAATTTTTCACAGCATCTTGCGTTTGATTTGTAAAACGGTCGTCACAGGAAATCCGAAAAACTGTCCAGGCCAGTAAAGTTCATGAATCAATTACTTCTTCTTTTTCCACGGATAGTTAGTACTCTGTCTTGTTTGTCAAGCTATCAAGTGTTGCGTGCACACAAAATACCAATAAACTAGCAACCTAACCTATGCCTTGCACGCACAGTATTATTTTAATTGTCTAAGCACATTTAAATTTTTATCTGCAGATTAACTATATAAAATGAATATGAATATAAAAGAATCGTTGAGCTACTAAAAATAAACCATCTTAAACATTCAGTTGTCTGCAGGGAAAGGAAAGCCAGCTTCATGCCCATCCCAGGAAGATTTTCCTAAGAGTTGTTGAGTCAAACAAATTTTCTTTAGTCTCTCACCGTCTGAACGTACTCAGACCACATCCTCTTTGAAACGCCGGCCCCCTTGGGAAGCATTTCCCTCCCAAAGAATGATTAAATTGTTTTCCTTATTATAGTCAGTGTTAAATTTTAATTTTCCCCTTAAAGTTGTCACCTTCTACTGCGCAGATTTTTAATTGGTAATCCGTAATTGTAAATGTTTTCAAAATTTACAGTGGATCCGGAAAGAAGGGATTGATTCCCTCTCAGTGTCAGAGCTTCAGGCTGCATGCAGGGCTCGAGGCATGCGCGCTTACGGGTTGACTGCAGAAAGGCTGAAAGAGCAGTTGGAGCAGTGGATACATTTAAGTCTTAATGAAAAAGTTCCTCCGTCTTTACTTTTATTGTCCAGAGCTCTCATGCTTTCATCATCTGATGTTCCACTTGATCAGATCAAGGCTACTATCTCTGCACTTCCGGAAACTATGGTTTGTGTTTTTCTCTTCGTTTTGCCTGTTGTTCTACCATTTCATCCTATTTTTCCCCCATTGTGGAAGTCATAAATTTTAGTCAGCAACAAAAATTTTGTCATTTTTCCTTTTTTTCTGGACGAGGTTCGGATTCAATGTCATACATCGAATTTTGCTTAATTTATTCCAACATTACAGAAAACTATTGTCGCATTTGCCGATTTCAGTCAAAAAAGTTCAACAAATAGTAAGTTTTTCTTATAATAGGGATTTAGTAGTTATCAAGTTTTGCAAGATTCTTCTTGATGAAATCTTTTTGAAAAAAGAAAAAATATCTTGCATCAATTATCAGTCGAATTCAAAGTTTGAATAAAATTCCATGAGATGGTTTTTGTTTTGTTTTCATAATTTCCCTTTTTTCCTCCAAATCTGAACTATGCTTGTCTGTTTTTAGGTTTCTTCAGTGCAAGCTGAAATTGGTGAAATTGAAGGTAAGCCTGACAACAAGTTGAAGATCGCCTTGATCCAGGAAGAAGTTCGCAAGATTTCAGAAGAAAGGAAAGAAGAATATGAAGAGTTGAAAGTAAGTTGTCTTTTGTCATCATTTCTTGTACAGATACTCAGAGCTGTTAAATTTTGCTGAACATATCCGCAAAGCAGTTCTTTTTAGCTACTAATTTTTTGTTCGCAAAAAGATAAGTGAACAAAATTTTGAGGGTATTCAATGCTTTCCCTTTCATATATTACCAAAAATTGATAGAACTTAGAAATTGCTCCTTTAGTTGCTTTTTTATTTGAATGAATAGGTTTTAGTTGTTTTTGGGATCAGAAGAAAGTTTCATTATTTTTGTGGTATGTAATTATGATCTCAAGTGTTGCGATTAATGAAACAAGAAAGACAGCCGTAGGTTTTTTCCTCTCTCATGGAGCTTTTATTTTATGCTTAAATTTGATAAAAGTTATTTTCATCGGACCTCGATGTAACAGTGAAAGTACCTATTTTCCACCCCCGTCATTGCTTTTTCAACAGGCTGAAAAGAAAGAGACCGTTAAAGATCCAGAGTTACTGGAAGACAAAGCTCCTGAGCTTACCGACACAACAGGCATTGCTCCAACTCCTGTCACCGTGGCCAAAGCACCTGCAGATGTTCCTGTAAGAGAAACTGTCACGGAAAAAGTCGTTCCTGATATTGTTGCACAAGGCTCAGCCGTCCAAAAAGAAGAGGTGAGTTTACTCTACTTCCACATTTCTCTTCCTTACTGATTCCAAGCAAGTATCGCCAACTTTTGGTAGTTTTAACTCTTGTCACCGCTAACTTTTTGTGTGCTAAATTTTTTTCTCCAGTTTGGGCAAATTTCCAATCCTTTTGATGTTATAGAATTGAATTTAGGTAGCTCAAGCTGAGGAAGGAATAGCTCTTTTATCTATCAGTCTTTTATCTCAAATAAAACTCTTCTCTTTGAAGTCTCTCCTTCAAGTATGATAAAAATACTAAAAATGTGGCCCAAACTGTAACAAGATGGTTAAACAGTGCGGGGTTCACATTATTTTGTGAGGAAAGCAAGGCCAAAAAAATTCCAAAATTTCAATTAAAGATAAGTATTCCAGCTCTACTGAGTATCAGTATGAGATTAAACAGAGAGCTCATCAGAGCTCAAATTTCTTACTCTAATTGGAATTTTTTGACTCTGCTTTCCCAGCAAAGCAGCGTGAACATCGCACTATCTTACTGCTTTTCCTCTACGACTGTGTCACTTTTGAATCTGAGGGTAAATAATGATGTCTTATCTACTACTTTAATCTGGTGGACAAGAAAGCAAGGCGGTGTCCTTTGATAAGATAATGGAGCTCTAGGCGCAGGATCATGGTAACACCCTTGGACGTGGCAATGATACATGAGACATTGGAGCATAGTTTCAGTCATGCCGCACAAACTCTAATGAAATTTTGTCAAAGAGTATGTCGTGAGTCAATATGCTTGGTATGCAAACTATTTCTACTATTTTAAACTGATCTTTTTATGAAGCATACAGATTATTCTTTCTTCTTATGCAGTGCTATCAAGTAACAGTTTTTGTTTGTTTGTTTTTTTCCAGGAGCTTACCAGCAAAGATCTTGCTCAAATTGAAGATGCTATCTCCGTGTTAACAGTTAATGGTAAGAAGAAGTTATTGGTGGAAAAAGATGAACTGGAACAACTTAAAGAAGAACTGGCTGACTACCAAGCGGTAAACTCAATCTTCTTACAGTTGTAAAGTTTTCAAAAGTGATTCATGGAATTAATAAATTAATTATTATACCTGATAATAGTTTTGAGGTGGGAGCTAAGGAAGGAAATAATTTTCAATGCAGCCTGCTAAAGTTCAATTCTTGAGCGGCATTTTATTATATCTGCCCTGGGTACCATCTATCACTTTTCTTAGTTTGAAGCCTTTTTAGTAATTAAGCCCTGCTCTCAGGTCTACAAAAATGATGCAGTGCAAATAATTCATAGACCCCTAAGATAGTCTCTTCTCTTCCTCCTTCTGCATAATTTTAGTCACAGTTAAAAGTCCTCCATGCTAAAAAATTACTTTCTGTCTATGCATTTCATTCTTTTCTTGGAATAAAATGCTCTCTGGTTTGCGTTTCTTATAAAGGCTCAAATTTTGTTCATATTGTTGATTTCAAGTTTTTTAAATGTCTTTTTTAGATATTAACCCTAGAGCTTATGCTGGTCCAAGGACATATATTTATCTAAGAAGGCTGTATTCTGTATTACAAAACAAGGATTTTCATCTAAATACATATTGTTCTTTTACTTCAGTAGAAGGTTTATCTCCACAGGTCCAGCTACCTCTCATCTATTCCTCCTCCCTCCACCAAAATTGATTCTTCAAAATGATTTTATCATGTTATTTTTTGTTTTAATAGGACGTCTTGGAATTGAAAGAGGCTTTGAAAGAGACTGACCCAACTCATGTCATTCCGAAAGTCAAGGAGTCTAAAGCTGCTAATCGACTTTTCAAACGAATGAACAAGATGATAAACAAACTGGACCATGTTAGAGATAATTTGGAGAAGAAAGGTGCTGAAATCAAGAAAACGTTGGAAGTTGAAACCGTTGAAGACAAAAAGAGGTAGGCAAATTTTATTAGAAATTGAATTTTTATCAAAAGAACTTCTTCATCGAAGGATGGAGCTTTTATTGTGTCAGAAGATCCCAGTCCCTCTCCAAGTGCTCTCCGATTTGATCGAAAGTCAGACTAAATATTTTGTGTGAGAGTTACAACTAATTTGAAAGGTTTCCTAAGTGAAGTTCCAATAACAAGGTACCAAGTCGAAAACCTAAGTCAGCATGTTAGCAATTTTGAGCCATAATTCTCAATTATCATTTTCTTTATCCTCCTCATTTTGAATCCTTGCAGCAGCGCACTTTTTCAATGCATCATGTTAAACTCAAATTAATAACAAACCGTCTTCTCTAAGAATTTGTCTCGAAAAAATATTGTTCAAAATTTGAAACTTGGCTAATGCCAAATTTAATGCAAGGGGGGAGGAGGGTCATCTTTGTTTTAAGTCAAGGGTTTTTAACTTTATTTCATTTGAATGTTATTATATTCTTCATAAATGGCTCTTTTATTTTAATGAAAGCTTCAGAATAGAAAAATGAGAGGGGAAAGCCCCTATTCTTCTAACAATAATTTGATAAAAAAAATAATCTCTGTTCGATGAAAGATTGTCCAAGTGCAAGATAATCTGTAAAAACGGATGAGATATTTTTCTCTCTCCGTGTGCCATCTCTCTCCTCTTTTCCTTCCTGCAAGGATTACAGGTTTGAAGTCAGAATGTTGTGTTGGCCCGTTTTTCATCTTAATTTTGTTTTTTTCAGTGATGAGCTTGTAAAAATTGATGAACTACTTAGTGCTATCCAGAAAATCCAAACTTTGCCCGACTCATCGAAACTGGAAAAAATTGCTGAGGTGCTCAGCGAGATTGACAAGGATCATGATGGACTCATTCGAATTGATGTTGTTCTAAGGGTATGTAAATTTTATGCTTTGGCATTTGCTCTGCACAGATCGCCTAAATACACTTTCTTTACATGAAAAGGATTTTTCTCCCCCCTGCAAAATTGATGAAAAAACCTTGACCTCTTTCCGAGTTTTTTGCCTTATGCAACAATTTAATGGTACCACTCTGTCGTAGACATCATATTTGTGCTTGGTTCTTTTTTGTAGCCTCTACATATCAAATTTGTATGAATCATATTTTAATATTTTTTCTGTAACTGAAAACAGAACAAGTATCTAATTCAAAATTCCTTTCTCTGGCCATATAGGTTTTATTTGATTTTTATATTTTTACTTTTTTGTCCAACGATTGATGGCTGTCTAATCGGTCTGAACGTTTTAGGGTTATTTTTACTTCTTCAGTCCTGTTTTTCATCTCATTGCCCAATTTGAGAGAGTACTTTGTCTGTGATGATTCTCAAAATTTTCAATCTGGGGATCAAGGATTTGTTCGCAAAATTTTACCTCTCGGTTCTGCCGTTTATGACAAAATTAAAAGCATTCCTAATTTTTCAATCTTTCACAAGATTAAATGCTCGGTGCTCACTCCACCTTTATTTTTTACATGGAATTGTCCTATTACACTCTTGACAACTAGCTAATTTCGAAACTTTAATTGTAATTCCAGGTTTTGGAGCTTATTGGCAACGAAAATGTGAAGTTGAACAAGAAACAGATTGATGAACTGATAGAACTTGTAGCGAAGGAAGAAATGATCGAGTTGGAAGAGCACATAGCACAAGCACTGAAACAAGACATGCAAAAGAGCAAAGAAGATAAAGAATCTGAAAGCCAAAATCCAAAATCAGGGTCCTCTTCATCTTCAAGTTCATCTAGCGAATCAAGTTCGAACGATTCAAAATCTAGCCAAAACAAAATAAAAAAGTCAACTCTGGAAATGACGAAAGAGATCACGGAAAAAACGCGGAAATCAGATGATTCGAGCGGTGATAAACAAAGCTGCAATGTTCCACCGCCAAAACAGACCGTCAGCGTCAAATCTGTGGACATTCAGAAGAAGTCTGATCCTTTAAAACCCAACAATGAACCGAAAAACCTGTGATAAACCTAGTCTCTTCTCTATCTGTTAGTTCATTTGCCTTTTGCCCCCTCTTCAAATTTGTTTTGCTCTTTCAACAAATGTACAAATCATGTTTGGTTCATTCCAAAAAGCTGTTTTACTTACGATTTCATGTGTAAATGTGTGTATATAATATGATAACTGTACTGTTGTAAGTATCTGTTAAGCGCTACATATTTTTCTAGTATTATTTTACTTGATCCGAACTATTTTCATTAATTAAATGAACTTGAAGTTTCTTACTTGATCTCTTAATTATTTCTCTGTTAAGCAGTAAGTTTAAATTTTGACTATTTTTCATTTTGTATTAAGTGCCTCAGTTGGGAAGCCTCTAATGCCTTGAAAAGCCAACCGATTTTGTTTTTGGTCAATAAGATTAGAAAAAAAAGAGGTTTAAAAAGAGGAAGCGTTTCGTCCGGACTATTTTCAGTACAATTCTTTCACCTAAGTCCTCATTTATAAAACTTCTTGCCATCTCCAGTCAAGTGAATTACAAGTTTTCCAATTCGTCAAAACATAAACTTTTGAAAGATCAGAAGGCAGAGTATAGATTGTAAGTTCTGAGTCTCCCAACTGATTTCGTAACTTGTTTGAGTGCTCCTGCAAGGACTAAAAAGGGACTAAATGGATGGTATGGACTAAAATTTTAGGAACCGAATCGAAGGTTTGCCGTGAGAACGGGCAAAATCGACCTCAAACTACGTAGGATTCAACACTGATCTCAAATTTTTTTTTCCCAGCCAAAATCGAGGAAAGGCGACAGGGACTAAAATTTTAGTCCATGGAGGATTCACTCTCTCATTCGCCAGTTATGAGCTCCAATGAATTTGATGCTTAAAAATCACCAAGATTTAGACCCTCCTGAAGATAAAAGATAAAGGAGACCCGTTGCTGATCCCTCCTTATGGAAAAAATGCAGAAATTCAGAGTTTAGAATGAGATGATGGAAAGACCTACTCCTGGTCCCTGAACTCTTGAGTCTGAGTGGTTTTTCGATGAGAGTACCAGGAAAGGAGGAACCAGTAGTACTACCGTGCTAAGTAAAAATGCTGTAAGAGCAATTGAATGTTGCTGAATTTTCTCTCAGAAAATAACTATTCTCGAAGAAAATCATAAATATTTTTCCTTGAAATTTTCTGATCAAATTGCGAACAAACTCTTCTGAAACATCAGAAGAGAGGTATTTATAAATTTTCAGCCTGGAAATTTGTGATATGCCGAAGGAAATTTGGCAACAACTAATGGCTCATACGGCGTCTTTCCTTACCACGGCGGCGTGTGTCCTCTCACCATCTCATTTACTTAAGACCCTTAACAGACGGATTTAGATTTCGTCTTTTGATAGATCGATATGTTTGATGGATTGATATTTTAGATAGATCAATCTTATCCATTTGACTCAAATCTTGATAAGTTTATTTCTGTCCAAATCAAAAAATCAACCAGGGTATTGCTGGGTAGAGACAGCCTTTCTATTGTTCTTGTGGTCTCCATATTAGAGGTTCAGTTCAGTAACTTTTGAACTAGCTACAGCAGTCCGATTGTTGAAATTTATGTCCGCACGACAAAAATCGAAAATCGATGTATTACACGGCGCAGGTAGGGCTATGTCTTGTCAAGGCGGATAAAGAATGGTGGTCGCATTTCGATTTTGGCTGCCATCTTGAAGCGTTGTGACGTCAGGAGGGTACGGGTTATGCCGTGCAATCCGAGGTTGAGTCGGCCCCCCCGGCCTCGGCCAGCCCATGTACCCAATGTACCCGATACCGTGTGACGTCCAGAGGGTACGAAATGCGACCACCATTCTTTATCCGCCTTGATGTCTTGTCTTATCGTGCCGACATAGCTGGTTAAAGTTTCACCAATCCGGCTGCAGGCTTTTATTCTGAATTTCTACTTCAGGTTGATGAGGTTAACACTTAAAAAAAAAAGAGTGAATATTTGACTTAAAAAATTTATTTACCAAAATTGACGACCTCATTCAGAAATAGTTTACTACTTGAATTCACAATTAGAAACACAGTAAAAAACTGTTTTGCACAAGCACAGATAATTTTCATTGTCTCAGGGAATACTGCTCTGTCTCTAGTAGTATGTTACCTACGAAAGAGAAATAGTTTTCAGATACTGTCTCAACGATCTTCATCTTACAATCAGAATGTCCAAAAAATTTGAGAAAAATATCTGCAGACCAAACTCATTCTGAGAGAATTGAAGCACCATTAGAGAACACAAGAAAAAACAATAAATAAGATCTTTCAGATGGAAATCTTTATTTTTTATCCTTCTAACATCATTTCTTAAAAAGCAGTTTAAAAATAAAAATTGCTCTCCTCACTAGGTCCTCTGAAAGCCTACTGCTTGAGGTTAAAAAGAAAAATAGAAAAGAACTGAGCATTTCAGAAGAACATTTGATACCATCATTCACTAGACATTAAAATACAGAATGTTTAATACGTTCAAACGATTACAGAATCAAAGCATCGATTTCTTTTTTCTTACCATTCAATCTTCTTTTTAGAGTTTTGATAATAATAAATCTGATAGAATTATGATTCTAATTTTTTTTTCATTTCCATGTTACCTCGTTGATTTACTTTGTGTCAATTTTGTAAACATGCTTCAAATTGAAAGATGAGCAGTTCTTAGATTGCAGGCACATACTGACTCTTTTAAGACTAATTTCGCACTTGAGGGAGCAGGTGTGAAAAAAAAATCCCTCGAAATTGTTGGATAATTTGAAGTTCCACGTTACAGGCATTTGAAGCTTTAATTAGACCCATTCCCTTATGCTCAGGGGTACAATCCTCATTGGAAACATATGATGAATATACTCGTGAAGGGTCTTGGCAATGTTTATACATTGTCTCCAGTAGTTATTTCCTGGCAGAGAGACTATTGGTGTGACCTTTTAACATTCTTATACATATGGTATGAAACTATGCACAATAGTATTTCCAAAACGTATGATTATTTAGTTTTGTTGCAACAAAAAACGACAGTAAACCACATTTTGATCATTATTGTGGCTGATTTTAAAATTTTTTCAGTTTAAATAATTGTACATGGATAAAATAAAAGGTTGTTTTTTTATGTCTTCAAACACACTGTATGATAATTCCTCCATTTTCTGCATCAATGAGCACGTTGGGGGGCTGTTTGGAGGCAATCAAAGTTTCCAACTAGACTCTTGTTAGATGATAGAGCCAGGCAAAATGACCGAATGATGAGTAATCATGAGGGAATGGGTTAAAGAATTGCTAAGATCAACAAACCGAAACTGTGCAGCTTGCAAGGAGGAAAAATAAATAAATATAAAAACAATTCTAGAGATGAAAAGATTCCTAACTTAATTTTGATTTGAAGATAAAAACATCCTCTTCATGACCTCAAACATTACTAATGCTGACATGATTTTCACTTTCTCCCTCTCCTTGCGGTTAGAGGAAGTGTTTTTTTTCTTTTTCTTTTTCTTTTTCTCGCTCCACATCGGGTTTCAGATGTCCCGAGCAGAGGTAGAAAATTATGCTGACTAATCTAGACATTAACTACATCTAAGACAATCGTAGAGTTTGAACGGAAGAGTTGAATCAATGTTTAAGGCCTGAGACGAGAAATTAGGTATCTAGCAGATTATTTATCACAGGAGAATTTTAATAGGTACAAGTTAATTTTAGGTTTCGTCATTAATTTTTGTCGAGGGAAATAGTATGAGGGATTTTAAGATATTCATGAAAACCTGTTTCCAGAAACCTTTACATGGGACTAGGCTAAATAATTGAATGTGCATTATACAGATCATGAGTATTACACTGATTTTACATTAAGTTCATTTTTTTTCTTCGTTTGTAAGCGTATTGAGGTCAAAACTAGTTGAACTGGAAAATGTGCAGATACAAGAGAAGTAAAGTCTGAGTACAGTTACTGTCTGAAGACATGTAGTTTTAAAGTAGGAAATGTTAAGATTCCATGATCACTTCATCATCTGAAAGTTAATTTCAGATTAGATGATGACAAATAGAAATGGAGATAGAAATAGAGAGATCAATTGCCGCACCTGCTAGCAATAAGTCGTTAAGCTATTTTCCAGATTCAATTACAGCAAGCGATACAAAAAGATCTCACTGTTTGATTTCATCACTGATCAACATATTCAATGATTGCATGATTGATGAGGGGACAACTCTATTCAAACCCTACGAGAGCACGTACCACTCATTTAAAACATAATGACTGGTAACTAAAATAAGAAAAGACTAAATTTATAGCTAAAAATTCACTCTACAGAGAAACAGGTACATGTTTAGTTGCAAGGCTCAAAAAGAGCACAAAATTTACACAAATGTTATTGCAGAGTTAGAAAAATACAAAAAATAAATGAACGGATACCTACGTGTAGACTTTGAACACTGCGGTTCAAAAGACGAGTAAAAATTAGCTAAGTTACAAAGCCCCTTTCACAAATTGATAATGTTGTCTGATGAGTTCAGGTACAATGACTTCTCGTAAAACAATCAGTTCGTTTTTGTTATCGTTACAAAATCAGTCACTTGTAAAAATCATTCAAGACAGGATAAAAAGTATCCTGAGCTAAAATTAATAATAGGAAATTTTAAAAAGCTTAAGCATACGGAGCTTTAAGTACGCCTTGTCAGTTTTCATGATCACCACTTTGGAAGCATTTAACGAAGAGAGTGAAAGGGTTGAAAGAGGATGCATTACAAGATCTCTTTTCAGTGACCCTCTATGAATTGTCTATCACTGAAATGAATATGCAATAAAATAGTAATTGAAGAAGTGTAGAGGTTCAAAATAATTAATAACTAGGTGTAAAAGTTCAAAAGTTGGGAATTACACTTCCTGAAGTAAAATAATCTTTCAAGAGCCTTACACTTTTCCTTTGGGGAGAAAGAAAAAAAAAGGTTCACACAGAACCAAAGATCTGCAGGAGTGACAAAAATAAATTTTCGGAGCCAAAACAAATAAATTGAAAGCTCACTTTTTCTAAAGCAAAATTCTAACTGATTGAATAATAATAATGCAACAAGTTCCAAGACCTTAAAAATTCACTAATGGCAGATGCCTGATTAGACTGGGTCTGTTGGAATGAACTTTGGTAAGAATGTCTTAACCTTTGTGGTGATGAATTTTGGGACACTGCATTGCAAACAGAATGTTGTAAAGAGGCAGAGCAAAATTATTATACTTGAGAGCAGTAAAAAATAAATGAAAAGGTTAAAAAATGGAATATAACTTCAATTGAAGCATGCGACACTAATACCCAAGTATAGAGGATTTTTGATTTTACAACACGATTAAATTCATAAAATTTCTAACGAGATGAGCTTTCTTGGTCATGCTAAAACCAAATGAAACATGAAGGAATAGAAGCTTTTCATCATCTTCTGACTATTAAGGTTCGTGGATTGGTAAGTTTAGCATAACAAGATTCAATTAAAGTCTTAAGAAAAAAAAAAACCTTCTTCATAAAATATGTAATGAGCTGAATTGAAAGAGGCAAAAAAAAAACATCAAATGATGATTGAATAAAAACGGTAATGATAAAATAATATGACATTTTTTCTGAACAAGTCCGATGATTCAAAACAAGATGAAAAAATAAAGATAAAAACAAGACTAAGAGAAAAAGTATTGCAACATGAGAAGACGCACTTAACGCTGGGGATAAACGATAATTGAAATGATAAGGAGCTTAAGAGAGTAACTTTAAAGAAATACAAACTTACAATGAAGAAAAGTTCCTGACTGTACAGAATACCAGTAATTTAAATCCCCCTTATGCTTAATTTTAAGAGGCTTACCTCACCAATTTACAATAATTACATTTCAAACAGAACAACAAAAAAAAAAGAGGAGGTATTTTTTACAACAATTTTACAAAATTACATACATGGTAAGAGTGGCTAGCAATTTTGATGCCCGACCAACATCATAATTCAGAACGATGGGTTGCAAAAAACGGTTTCTGCAAAAGGTAGGAGCATCTACCAGAATGAAAGAAAAGAAAATACCTATTCCTTCAGAATTCTTAAACTCAGTAAGTTTGAGTTGATGTTACTGTATTTTAAGTATAATGATGATGATAATGATGACATATTTAGGTCTACTAGATTTTTCTGCAAAATTTAAAGATCAGAGACCCACAATTTTCCAATTTTTCTAAGTGGGTTGTTTCATTTTTTTCTCTTTTCTTTGGCTAACACAACCCAGGGAATCTGCGAACTAGGTTCACTTTCTTTTATCAAAGTGTGAAAAAGAGAAACTAGAAAACTTAATTGCTCAGCTATCTCATCACAAATACAAAATAACTTCTGATTTTAGTATCTTTAGCACAAAAAGAAAAACCTTCTAAAACTTATTGAGTTATATAAAAAATTTCATTTGCTGAATTCAAGGAAAAACTATCAAATTTTTAGAATTTGCAAAAATGAGAAGCTTCTCCTTGCTATGACAATCAGTTGGCATCATCCCACAATGTACACTGTTAATAATTGTCTGAGCCGAAATCTCTAGGCAAGAGCAGACAGGCATTTGCAACACCTAATTCAAGAGTCATATGTAATTAGTTGGTGGTGAATCTATCACCTCTTGAAAATGAACTTGGGCGAACTTCACCTGCTGGTTGTGGCAATTTTTCGCCAGAAAAAAACCAAGTTCTTCCTTGAGCAATTGGGTAAAAAGATACTTATTTTACTGAAGAATGAGACAAAACCATTGACAGTCCATTAATATTTGACAGTCATGGATCATAATGACAAAAGGGAAATAGTCTCTCCTAAAACAGCTAAAGAAAAGAGCTCAGAGGAGAATTTCTCAACTGAGGCCTGGCAAAATACAATATAGAATCATCACAGATGATAGAGCCAGAAAGTAATGATTTTAGTGAGACTTGCTTTCTTTCAGGTTAATCAAAATCATGTAAAAACTTCAATTGAGTTTGATGAAGTTCGTGAAATTTAATATCGTTAGGAAAAGGCAGTTTCTATGTCAAAATTCATGAAACAGGATTTATTTTTCACGGGAAGTAATTTTCAAATCCAGTTTAACAAGTCTTTTCCAGAGATTACCGTTCAGCATTTAACCAACTGAGATATCTTGGTTAAATGTTGAAATTCGGAAAAGAAAACAGGTATGTGTACAGATGAATTAAAATCTACATTTTAATCTCATAAATGGGACCAGCTAAGAAAAAGTGGCTGAATTAAGCTGTTTACATGAATTGATAACTTTACTTACCACCTAAAAAGATAATAAACATACACATATATATATATATATATATATACTTGCAGACTTGTAGTGTAGGTTCAGTCTTAGGGCGATGAATTGCTGGAAAAATTGGAGCTCCTAATAAAATATACAGATTGTCGAGGTGCACTTTATTGAAGCGGGCATTGCAACTCTCAGCTTGGAGGTTTCGATGATGACATGTGGTGCATTTCATTCCTTCGAACTACCATCTGAAATTAAATCAGTCAAAAGGAGTGGGAAAATCATTAAAAGAGGAAGCAAACGGTGCCTAGTATATATTAACTTCTACATAAAAACTACATGATTCAAAATGCAGTGGTGGCTCTAGGCATATTTGGGGAAAGTCAAATATTTTACTCTGACATCCTTTAAATGAATGCAAAAAAGCTACTTTGATGATGAAAGCAAAAGCTCTCATGATAAATGGGTCCGTGGTGCCAATTTTCTTTAATTCATTTTCTGAAAGTATAGAGTGAACTCAGCTTCTAGGAATACTTCAGATTTTTTTTTTGAAAAAGCCCAAAATGAGACTCCCTTGAAACAATACTTTCGGCGGACTCTGATGACAAAGCCAGGCGAGAGAAATGGTGTTTTATGATTGGCAGAACTCACCTTGCAGCATTGCCTTGCTACGACAACTTGGCATTCAGTTTTTAATTGGACTGATTTTGATTAGCTTTTTCTCCTTTTAGAAATAACTTTTTAAACTTTGCAATGATCTTTTTTTACATACAATTTTAATGCAGAAAAACTAGCTTACAACCCTGACAAAATTTATTGCCACTGCCTCATTTTTAAGTTTCTTTTTACAGCTTCCAGCTGACAATTAAAAAATCTACAAGAACTTCCTCAGTTTTTCCGAATTTTTCAATGCCTAGGTTACGGAAAAAAATTTCTCATAAGCACGGGCATAAATAATTTTTAAACGCATAGAACAAAATTCAGTCATATGATGAAACCACCAGTGATTTTAAGTGAGAGAAAAGTAGGTGATTTTATAGGCAAGAGAGACAAATAACAAAAGCCAAAATTAGAAATGTTAAAACTATTTCTCTTCTGAAGGTTGCAATTGCAACTCTCAGAAATTAGATAATTAATGTTTAAGGTGATTCTGAGTGATCTAGAGACAAGATTTACCACTACACTGCGCTGCTACGCAATTTGTGTCTTTGAGAAGCAACAATAATTGCTCTGTACAAATTAATGCAAGCACTGATTCATAACAAATAGCAGCATTAATATTGAGTAGAATGATATCAAATTCGGAGGCGTCATTAACAATTTACATTGGAAACTACCATAAAGAACGTCACCCACTGACTTAAAGTGTAAAAGAGAGTCGTTATAATCCTATCCCTCTTTTACAAATCAAGTCAATGGCTTCCAGCCGTTTTAGTAGTTTCCAATATATGTACATTTTCAATGAATCTTCACAGATTTGATGTCATTCTCTATCGTAGTAATGCTGCTGCCTATTATGGATCAGTTTCTTGTACAAAAATTTGTTCAGTGCAATAATTCTTGCTTCAAGTATGCTATCAAGTATTCTTGATAAAGTATAACATTTTTTATGTTAATCAATTTAAATTTAGGTCTTTAAATTTAGCCACAAAAGTTATAACTTTTGTTTATGGTTTAAGGATTTCTGGATTTCCTCCCTTTCTTGGATTTCTAATTAAATGATTGGTAATTAACTATTTTTGGTATCTTTGGGTTTGTGTCTTTGGACACAAACCGTGAAGCAGCTCAACATGGTGACGGATTTCCTCCTTGGATGACTTTCAATCACCTTGAATCAAGGGCTCTTGAATTTTAAAGGACTTGTAGATAGGGAAAAAACAAAGGGCATTCAAAGGATTTTTGAGATCAAACAAACGTGATACTCATCATTGACAGATTGAAATGAGAAGGGAAAATAAAGGGCTTAGAGGTGATTACTTACTTTCTGAGGTTGCTGACTTAAAACTAGCACTTTAGTGGGATAAATTTGGTTCGTAAGATGTTCTTACTTGTTGTTGGGATGTTGGCATGGAATACATAGCAGTAGAGTAGCCTCCAGACTGGATAGAGGAACCGGAGGCTGCCATGTTTGCATTGCTTGGAACGCTCCTGAAAAACATCACAAATGATGAGAACCGAGAAGAAAAATAAAGGAGCAGAAAAATCATAGAGGATAATTCCATTATTCCAACATCAGATTATGCAAGGTCAACCATATTTTCACTTGAACTTTTCAGTTTAAAATTTCATAAACTGATAAACTTTGTATAAATTCGACTCAGAATTTAAAAAAAAAAAATAAATAAATAAAAGAGAAGAAAAAAATCTATATGATTTTAATGGAATGGCATACTTTGAGCATATGGTTTTGGCTTCAGCAATCTGTCACTTTGAACGGAAGGTTGTTACGAAGTTACACGATGGACGACTACTAATGAAGCATTTAAACTACTCAGGGTTGGGCCAATCTGAATCTTTGAAAAATATGAACAACTGATACAATAAAACGTAACTGAACAAAAGCACATATGTATATTCAAGGTTTTACCAGTCATGTGTAGGGAACCCTGAATACATATTACAATTAGTGAAGTTGTGGAGACTGGCGGAGAGGCAAAAACAATTTATTCAAGTCTACGATGAAGTTAGAGCATGCTCAAGTTTGGGTGATGTAAAAACTATGAATGAGGAATATTATGAGGAAAGATTGAATTCTGAAGGATACTAGCTTTCACCAAAGAAACACCAAAAGAATACAAATAAAAATAAAACAAGAGGATGATCAGCAATAAAAGTAAAATATTTGTATTCATTGAAATGAAAAACGGCACAAGATTTCTGGAACACTCAGTAGCTCATCAAATAATACATTACTGGCCAGAGAAAAGATGTTAGAGGATTTTTTGGAGCAAAATGAAAATGGACAAAATTTCCAAGCCTGTTTGCTCTTTCGAGGAGTCTTTTAATAAAGAAAAACGTTGGGAGGAAAAGGCAAGGTACCAAACTTTTTGCATTTAATTCTATCTTTTTTCACAGAAATAAGCCAGTAATCAAGGACTTGGAAAAAATAAGAGGATTGCTGAAGCTTCGTGCAATTGGATTGCTGTATGCTACCACAAGCAGACAATGAATTCAACTGATAAAAGATACTGAAGATTTTCACTGATGTTTTTCCTACGCGTTAGGAAGCAAATTTATCTTGTGAAAATTGTAGATAAAGCAGCTATTGAAAAAAGAGATTGTCCGTGAAAAATTCAAAAAATTCGGGAGAAAAAGGCGTGGGGGGCAGTAATTCTGAAAGTTGCTTCACAAGAAGATATTACTTCCATGAGTGATTCAACGTTGAGGCTAGAAGAAATTATTGGAAATGACAAATGAATTAGCGTGTAGAGAGAAAATTTTTCCCACATTTCCTTCCATTTGTTTCAATCATGTTAGAACGAACAGTTAGTGGTATTCGTCTTTGTTAGGCTAGTTTTAGATAAGAGATTATATTTTTTCATTTAGTGGGTAGTAGGGAGTATTAAATAAAAATTGATTGAAAAATGAGCTTTCCACTTGCATGGGGTATCCAAGATGAAAGAAAAAAAGATCTTGTACTGCTACTGCCGACAATCGCCACCTTTGCTAAATGTACATTAACCAGCACTTACTAAAAGTACGTATTAAGTTATGCGTAAGAAAAAAGCTTTTTAAAGACAGATTCCAGCATTATATCCTTGTTTCTCGCGAGATTACCTTCTGGCATCAGGCCTGCTCATAGGATCGGCTGATGTCCTGACAACTCCTGGCGTCGTAATTGTTGGGTGGACGGTTGCGTAAACAGCAGGGCTATTGTGGTGTCTTCATGCACATACACACAAGTCAAAAAATGTTACCGACACAAATGAAAACAAAGACACAAAAAACCAATTTCATCTGATACTTCCTAATCTTTTTCATGCAAAGACATTCTATGACCTCCGTTCTCAATCCCATTCAATAGGAAAAATTGTCCCTGACAGATTTTTTAAAGTATTATTTTCCTCATATTTCCATGACTTTCTGTGGGAAAGTGAAAACCATTGGCTTTTTTACGTTTTACTTGACGTGACTCATTTTACGTGACTTGTACTCTGTGTTACCAAACTTTCCTAATTTTTCCTTCGCTAACTTTTGAAGAGTTTTGAATTGTAAATACCTGAATATCACTTAAAACCGGAAACATTTTTGAATTTGTTCCTTGATTCACTCCACAGAGATTGGAGCTCTACTACATTCACATGCAAGCATTCTGAATTTCACTCTTGCCGATCCTTGAGAAAGATATGTTTAAGAGCAGAAAAGGGATTTTTCTAGGACAACCACTCAAAGTTACAACTATTATTACAATTCCATTATAATAAACAGTTGCAAAAAAAAAAAAAAAAAAAAAAAAAAAAAAAAAAAAAACATGCATTTATTCTTCACCAAAAAGTGTTTCCAGAGGTAAAAATGAGCTGAAATAATTCACAGCAAGAATCTATATTATAGGAAATATATAGCTCCTGTCGCATCTTAGCACATCTATAGGATTGAACTATCAAAAAAATACTCAAAGTCAGGCAAGAATGAGCCATTTTGAAAATAAAAGTGAAATTCCTCAGTGCTCAAATGAAAGTAACAGGAGTATAAGCAGAAAAATCATTTCTCTCAATCTTCCAATCATTTGAAAGCATTTAGCCATGAATTACTTCGCTCCTAAGCCTGTTTTTTATGCTAAAAGGCTATTTTCTTATTTACTATTCCATTTGGCATCTATTTGCACACACAAAGCATGCATATTGAATTTTAAAATACAATTCTTCAGTAAAAAGGGATAAAAAAAAACCAAAAAAAACACCTTGACATCCCTTAAATACAAGAATTCAATATCTGCTGAATGTTCTGGTCGGACATTAAAAGAACTTAGGTACCTTTTTTTTTATAAATCTAAGAATTGAATATAAAAATATAAATATGGCAGCATGCAAAAAAAATGGCGTAGTCCCTTCAAAAACTACACTAGAAAAAATAGAGGAAAAAATGGGTTCATTTAATATTTGGTACCTACCTAATATTGGGACTGGACTGAGGCGGCTGTTGGTGGGGATTACGATGTTGGTACATCGTCGGAGGAGAAGCTGACAGTCCGTTCTCCATTGGAGGTGGCTGCGAGTAAACATTGTTTATTCGTTGCTGAGCACCGACCGAATGGATTGCACTAGTGCGGGACTCATTCACTTGCTGGACAGTTGCTGGATGAACATTATTCACTAAAAAATGGTAACAAAAAAAAAAGGATTTATTATTTTATGTTGAATTTTTAGTTGTTTTCCTTTCTTACACTGTGGCATCAATTTCTAGAAAATAGAAGACAAATTAAAAAGAACTTCGTACTTAACAAGAAATAAATCTTTCTAAATTATTTTGCCATTGATACAAAAACTGTAGTTGGCATTCCAGACAAAAATTTTTTTCTAAAAAATCTAACAATATAGAAACTGTAGATTGTTGGTGGCCTACGAAAAAACGTGACACACATGGGGGGTTGGTTCGATGGGCGGGCAGGGAGTGGAAATGGCCAATTACTATCTTCGTCATATGTCAAATACATGAAAACTTACGGAGATTTGTACAATAAATGATTTAGCATTGAAATTTTGATCGCAAACTCACTTGATGAATGGCTAAGTTCCATATCTGGACACAGATTTTCAAACAGTTGGTTCTAAATTTGATATAAGTCCGTATACAACAACAGTTCCATAAGAAGCCATGAAACCAACTATCTTCTTGCTAACCTAATTGTTGCCCCTGGTGTGTTACGAATTACACTGTTGGCGTAGCATAGGATCACATAGGATCGTTGAAAAAATCCCCGTTTTCTTTTTCATTTATTTTCTCGACAATAACTGACAAACAAGCACTTGAATTTATACAGTAATAGAGTAGAATCTTAAAAGTCTACTAAAAATAAAAAAGGAGTTGCTGAAAATTTGGATGTAATCCATGCAATACATCACTAACTTATTGAATTAGCCGTAGAATCACCATAAAATAGCATTAAAGGCGAATGTGTAGTCGTGCGTAATGACATTCAGCATACCTTGAGTGACTGGGGTGAGAGGAATGGCTAATCTAGCATTAACCGCTAGTAAATGATCTCTTCTTTGAACTAAACTGTTGACATGCTCCTCAAGCCGTAGATTCTCTGCTCGAAGCTGATGCAAACAACTTAAGAGAGAGGCAACTGAAATCAAACAAGGAATACATATTTGTATTACAGCAGAAAAAAAATGTTCTTACTGCATGTTCTTGAGTACTTACTACTTGAAAATATTCTTTCGAAAAATATTTGTTCTAAAAATTAGGGATGTCGATACTTATACGATACTTGCAAAGTATCGATACTTTCGATCGATACTTAACGATACTCGGCATCGATACTCCACGATATCGATACCATGCAGTATCGATGCCAAGACCCCAGTATCGACGGTATCGATACTTAATCTGATTTGGCCATGAAGAAGACCTCTTCTTCTTTTTTAAAAAAATCTCTCCCCACTATTTCACCTTCATGATGCACTGTGACAAACCACGGAGTAATCAAGTTTCTCAAGATGATTACACTTCAATAAAAATGTTAAAAGCTCAGTTCGATAACTGTGGTTAAGGGCTCAAAATAGTTGACTAAGGACACGAACAGGGCTTTTTCGAGAGAGGCGTAAATCTGGCGGAATTTAACGGCCGACAGACATACGCACACTCAGAATCACGGCATAATTCAGAAATAGTATCGATGGTATCGATACCTCATAAGTATCAATACTGCAGCTCAATGCTCGATACTGGTATCGATGCTTCGAGTCGATACCAGTATCGATGCTTCGAGTCGATACCAGTATCGATACCTAGTATCGATACTTCCGTGAGTATCGACATCCCTACTAAAAATCCTTTAGCCATGAAAAGAGAGGATAATCTTTCTTTATAGAAAATAAGTCATTCACACAAATTTAGGATGGCAAAACTAAAGATGCAGTCACAAATAGTAATCATTTTAAAGTATTTGTACCATACAAAAATATTCAAACCATTTAAAAAAACTCTTAATTCATATTCAAGAAAAAGAAATCTAGAACTGTTTGTTTTATAATCGGTCTGTTGTATGCAAGAGATAAAGCCAAGTAGATGGATTTTCTTAAGGTAGAATCATAAGGAAATCACGACAGGCAGGTAAAAAAAGTTTAAAATCCACACTTCAGCACTCAATTGGCATGTTCTTAATACGCTTCTTCAAACATTCTGCATCCACGGGCAGTTTTCCTAAGAGGGAGACGTAAGAAAATCTAATCTTAATAAACAAATAATCTTGCAACTTTTTACTTGCGTACAATTTCAATAACTTTCAAACATTTGTTTCCTCCTTAACTTCTTTTTTTGGAGAGGTTTTGATTGTAGAAATTTGCAAGAGTTAGTTCACTTCCTTCCGGTTTCCTTGTGTTAGGCTGGAGTCTACATTAAGAGCTATGTGATAAAATACTCTGCGGCGAATGGCCTGGTCATTATTCCCGACTGAAAATGATCTGACTAATATTTCAAAGGTGTTGCTTACTGTCAAAGTGCTGGGCTTGTTCCATAAGGAACTGACTGCCGTGTTCCCATTGCCTCTCAAGGAGCTGGTCAAGCGTCTGAGGAATGTTGCCCCCTCCAAGTGAGGACCAGCTTACTGCACCATTACTGCTTGCAGTGGAAGTTGTTGTGGTAGCTGCAGTGGTAACTGTTGTCGAGGTGCTCAAATTTGCATTCGGTGTACTGCGACCAGAGCGAGCCTGAAATTGGAGAATTTGTGAGACTGAGTACAAACCCCTGGATCATATCCCTCCAAACTTAAGGTTGAGGATTCTAGGTGGAGAACCAAGACAAAAAGATTGAAGTTTCATGATCAAGTATTATTTGTTTGGTTCAAACTCCATACATAAGGCCAGTCTTCTATTTTAGAGAACAACTCGAATTGCATGATGTAACTACGTTTAAAAAGATGAATTCTAGTACTTTTGAGCTCATCTGACTGCTGCTAATTCAATTTCATTGACCTTTCCATCTTCAGGCATCCACATCGTCAATCTCAATTTACATAAAACCTTTGTCAAGATAACTCAAAACAAAACGATAGATTTGATGGTGAAATTGAAACTGAAATAAAATAAAATAATAAATGTAAAAACTAGCTGTGACACTTGTAGCAAGAATGTGGAAACATTCTTTAGTGAGAAGTTCAACATGACGGAGCAGCTACAAAAGATACACCTACTGATGGACTAACCTCTGATATGACCCGACTATAAAGCTGTGGTCCAACAAGAGAGGCATTTGGTTCAGCCCGATAGATACTGTGCGCTTCCAGCTCTGCATTCAGGGTATCCGTCATTTTTTGCGCCATCATTGAGGATGGATTCAACTGATTACCCAGCATGTGTGGAGCATTCACGACACCATTTTGAAATCTTCAGGGACAAAATGGCATTGATTTAGAATTAAACAAGAAAGTAAAATTTGTCTCTAGGAGTAAGCTAAGCATTATTATGGCTTCAAAAAAGTTGAACCGGGGAGAAAGATTACTTCAAAAATCTTAAATTCATTTTACTGCTTTTTTACTAGTTTCTTCTTTAGTTCGGTTTTTCCGAAAATCTTTCAAATGCTTCTTCTCTGAAGGAAAAATGTAGCAACACCCCTTACAACCAGAGAATGTCTCAATTTGCGATGGAGTTTATGCTACAGATTTTGCCAAAACTCCTGACAAAATGTTACTGCCTAATGTAAAACAAGCAACTCATAGATAAGATTTTGAGTGGGTCTCATTACATTCCCAAGTAGGTTCACAGAGTGTGATTGCAATGCAGCCCCTCCCTCCCTCTATCCATCCTTCCCCTCATTAGAATGAAAAAATACAACTCATTCAAAGTTGATAAACTACAGTAAAGAGCAACCAAACAGAAACTACTTACAGCTTCGTTTCTTTCTCATCTTTGACAGGCTGCGCTTGCGGCTGTGGTTGGGGCTGAGATAAAGACATGCTACCTCGACGGCCCTTGGTGGTAGAATTGTTACCTTTCTTATTGGAAATTTCTGGACTACTTGGAGGGGAATCTTTAGGGGCAGCGCTGCAAAAAAATATCAAGTTTAGAATGAAAATAATCAAAAAATGTACAGTACATGCTTATCAGACTCCCACTTACCAAAAAAAAATAAAGTTAATAAAGAATTTGAATGAGCAACAATTTCGTAGTTAACAAGCTGTTTCAGCTTTGAGGAGTATCAAACAAAGTTAGAACACCGAATTGACAGCACAGAGCAGGGATCAATAGGGCAATGAATCTAATAATTTTTTCCAACCCATGGATGCAGATGAAAATGTTTATTTCTTTGACTTGTCTACAGGTGATAAAAAATTTTGAACATCAACTTTTTGCTGAAGGTATTTAAACATCCTGTACGGTGGCCATAAGTTTTATCAGAATCACATGAGCCATAAGTTTTATCAGGAGTTATTTAGCAGATGTGGACGGTTACTAACGGAGCCCCTCTTTGCTCCTTTGACTTGATGAAGAAAAGGACTTTATCTTCCTTTGACCTGTGATAATACTGACGAGGGATAAAGCTTGAGTGACGGAGAGCTACATATTGCCACTTCTGATCACTTTCATAACAGGCCAACATTGGGGCCGACTTCATAACACAGTCTCCGATCAAATTAAAGGCTTAAAGTGTTTATTTCCTGAGCTCTACTGATAATAAACTTTGATATTTTGAAGTGGAGCGAAGCTTCAAAAGACGCTATGTAGAATTTATGGGTGAAAAGTTACAGAATTTGTGGAGAATGACAATCTCTAGTAACTTGGACCCTACAGTAACACATTCAAGCTTATACTGTTTACCAGCAGGTGGTACTGCCTGACTGGGGAAGATCGTATACGTACAGGTACATGAAATCTCTTCAAGCTGCCAGACTAGGATTAAATGCCTTAGAGAGAAAGTTAGAAACAAAGTTCAACTGGGACAACCACTTTGAATCCGAGAGAATTTAAGATGTTTTTTTCTTTCTCTCTCTCTCCAGCATGTACAAATGTACAACACTTGGATGTTGATCATTCTCATTGGAGAATTAAAGCGCTTACTTTGTGTCTGGGGTGGGACTGCTTGTTCTAGATCCAGCTAAACTTTTCTTCCCACCAGCCGGGGAAGTTGATCCGCTTACTGAGTGACGCTTTTTCTTGCCTTTTTCTGATTTTTCATTTGACTGAGATCTATGGGCATAAAGCCAAGAGAATATGAAAACAGGCACATTTACTAATATTTTTCAAGGTGACAGCAATGACGTCCTTACAAGGTACTACATTTACAATATTTACGAGGTAAATATTTTAGAATAACTTTCAAGAGAAAATTCAGACTGGTGACATGTTTGAATTACAACCTTTGTGACAATTTTCTTACAGCTGTGAAAACTCAAGAGACACAGAAAAGCCAAGAAAGAAGAAATTTCCATCTTTATAATCCTGTCCCATGGCAAATTCTAGGAATATTTTTTATGCCTTCTCACCATTTTCCACCCCTGTAGACATCCTGGTACTACGAACACGCCTTTGACCATTAGAAAAATATTCTATTCACTGCAAATTTGGAAATTAAATTTCCACAGGAACGCATGATTGAGGAGGCTTAATTCACAGACTACTTCAGGGAAACTATTCTTTTTACAGTTATGAGGAAACTGCTTCATTTACAGAGAAAGCCAATGACAATCGAGTGCATTGTAATCAATGCTTTTCTTGAGGAAAAAAGCTCACTATTAACTTGCCACATTGATGGAGGTAGGGGGCAATTTTAATGTTAGTTCATACTTAAATAGAGAAATTTCTAGGAAAGGTAGGTGAATGAGAGATTTAGAAGATAAATGAAAGAAATGACCTTGAATAAAATTTACCTTGAGCGTTTGGCAGGAGACATATCACTACCATGAGCAGCAGCATTTGTGCTTGCTATTGCAGGGGCCGCAGTGGAGTAAGGAACTGAGACCACAATGGAATTAGTTGTTGGTGTTGCAGAGTTCGTACCTGAGAGAGACAAAGTGGATGGAAGTTAATGGTGACTGGTTAGTACTAGAATAGTGAGGCAAAAGAGATATAACTTATAAAACCTAAAGAATTCTGATGGACACAAACAGCAAGCTTTTATTCAAAGGACATGAAAAAATGTAAATAAATTGTAAAGTAAGTTGTAAGTATTTGAATGGTTTTGTAAAGTGATGCTTTGTCCTTCCCCAGACAAAGGGACCTAACTTCATTCAACGGTTGCAAAACTGAATCAGATTATTCAATTTTTAACAAGATTATGATCCCCTAATTTTTATACAAACTGTAGCTGATTTTTGTGTACAATCAGAAGTAAAATCAGTAAAATTTTTGGGGAAAAAAGGCACCACCCTAGTTTCTCTGAAGCTATTAAAATTATCCAATTTCTTTAATTGAGTTCAAATAGTTAATGGTGACCGTCAGAATAGTCAGGGAAAAGACATGACTCATACAAGACTTAAGAACTTTTATGGACACAAACCAGCAAACTCTCATGAAAACAGAACATGAAAAAAATGTAAAAAAAAAATTGTTAAATACGTCTTATTTGATTGGTCTTAAAAGCTGATAAGTTTTTTGCTTCCCATATGAAGGACGTAATTTCATTCCAAGATTGCAAAATTGAATCATATAATTCAATTTTTCACATGACTATGATCCCCCAATTTCTGCTTAAATTGTTGCTGATTTGTGTTTTAGTGCGATTTGTGATTCAGGAGTAAGTAAAATCAGTAAAATTGTAGGGGGGAAAAAGAGAACACTGCCCCTGTTCTTCCTTCAGAAGCGACTAAAATTATCCAATTAATTTAATTGAGTTGGAGCACTTTGATGAAAATATGAATTGAACTCACTTGAAGCCTTGGATACGGCAGGTGAGGAAAACCCAGAGCCAGGGGTGAGCGGAGCGGCTGAGGACGGGGACGGATAAGCACCCTCCGCTTTGACCACGACTGAGGGCGCATTGGCATCACCACCCTGTTCAGTAGCATTTATATCCAGCATTTTTTTGGCGTCTTTCTCGTCCGAAGGAGAAACTTCACTGTCTTTAGGGGCACTGTTGGGAGGCGTACGCGCACCCCCCTTACGTTTTTTATTCTTACTGTCACCGAACACACTTTCACTCGGGGCCACGATACTTTCAACAAAGTTCAACGTGGTAAACTTATCACTTAGTTCAGACTTAACACTTGACGATGTGGATGTAGGAATGGCTGCTGGCTGAGCGCTTAGCGTGGAACTTTCTTCTGCGGCTGAATTTATTTCTACACTGCTTCCTTTTGTTGATATTGAAAGTTTCAGTACACCTGGAAAAGAGGGACAAACTCTTTCAGAAAGAAACTGTGATCTTTGAAAGCATGTGATTTTCTCAGGTTCAAATTGGTTTTCTTTGGAGTTTCATTCCTTAGATAAGGGAAGTTTCAGGGCTTTCACCAAAGGCTGGATAGAAATTTGCCATTCAATTATCTTCAAAGATAAACAACTTATGGTATAAAAACAAGTTTCTTTAGTTTATTGCCTACCACCCCTTTCTTTACAGGATATAAAAATTCTTCAGTCTTTTTCATTTTCTGAAGGAGAAAAAAACAACTAACAATATGCAAGTTAAAAGAGGAAAAAAATGAGGAAGAGTACAGGCTGATGACTTCAACAACATGTATCCAAAAACACTATTTCAAAAGTTCACATTTGCCGAGCTCCTCCTGGCTTAGGGTTCTTTGTGCTGTGTACAACATAGCAAGTGATCATCTAAAATTGTTTTTCTTGAAAGCCGATTCAAAGATGTTTACAAAATGGTTATACAAAGTTTCTAGAAAAATGTTTGAGACAAAGTTTTCTGAGCTTCATTATGAGAGGAGACCTGCTAAACAATTGCCTTCATATGAAAAAAGCGCATATTTTTCTAGAGGGACACCACAAACCAAGTAAACAAACGTAACTTATACGACGATTCAACCCTAACTAGAGGGCTCTTTACCTGGCTTGTCGGTAGATGTTATTACAGGTCCACCAGACTTAGTCGTGCTGCTGGTCTTACGTTTTGGCACTGATTTGTCGATAGTTTCTTTCTCGGGTGAAGAATCAAGGGGATTAGTGGAGGGTACAGGTCGATATGGAGGGATGGGTTTAACGTTACCACCTTTTTTCTGAAAACATAATTTCACTCAATTACTTGACTTTTTGGTTCATAAACACAAAAGCCCAGCCCATTGTTAATAAGTTCTTAAACGTACATTTTCAGTGAAAAAATGTCATCAACTCGTTGTCTTTGTGCTATCTCCTCGTTTTAGTGCTTTATCATTTCTTGTTGTCTTAAAATACTTATTTATAAAAAGCTTTCAACTTTTTGGTCAGTGATACATACTACAATTACGTTTTACAACTTAACCGACATTAGTCAATCAGATGAAAATTTTAAATACTTAATAAGAGAAGTTCAACTTTATTTGAAAGGTTGCTTATTCCAAACTAAAATTAAAGATGGAGAGAACTTTTCTCAGTTAAAATAAAAGTTCCCTTTTTAGATCATTTATATCAAGTGGAGTTTTGACTTAAAACTTCTGGTTTTTTGAAAATCCCTAAAATTGAAAAATGCCCTCTCATTGATCCCTGCAGTTTTATGTTTTCCGTCAATAAAATATTTGTCTTGCTTCTCGTACCTTCGGTGCATAAATGCTCAGCTCCGAAGAGTCAACATTTAAATAATTTTTAAAATGTAACAACGAATGGTTGACACTTTAAACAATTTTTTTCCCAAATCTTTTTTGTTTACTTGAAATTTTTTATTAGTAATGTCTACCAACAATGATAGCAACCAAAATCCTTTCACTGCACTGAATTTACTTTCCATTTTCTAATTAAATTATGTTCTTCAATCTTATTTGATTATACAAAATACCGTCCACTCTCAAGTTTGTACCTCAAAACGAAGTCCTAAAATTAAGCTGTTTCAGAGAGATTCTAACTACTACTTATTCAGAATTTCATACTTACCAGTTTAGAGTAATGATGCTGACAGTAGCCACAATATTTTACGTTATCTAAATAATTTCCAGCTTCTTCACACAGCAAGCCCATTGCCTGGGCACAGGTCACATGAAATTGCTGACGGCATCCTGCTTTATTGCATTGCATACACGCACCGTTCGTAGCTTTGCTCCCTTTACCGTTCTCTTCACAAATATAACACGTCTGCAATAATGCACAAACAAACGTAAGAAATAGAGAAGAGAGAGCAGTAACTGGGAGATTTTAGATCTGATAGCTGGCCTCAGCTAAAATTTTGGCGGTGACTTATCATAATAAGTCACCACTATATAAAGAAGAAATGCTATCCATGTTTGATCATTAATGAGAACACTATTTTAACAGACTCATTAAGTATACTAATAATTTGAACCGAAATGAGTTTTTGAGTTACCTCTTCAAGTTTTCTTTTACAATGAAGTTTACTGGATTAAAAATGTAATACATGACCAGTTTACACAGGTATATCTATTAGATGGAAGTTTCACTTCCTCGAAGAACAATTTTCTTTTTCATCTTCTACTTCTTTGAGAAGGGAGGTCTAATATTGGGTTAAACCATGAAAAAACATTCCTGTTGGATAAGACTTCAATGAGTTGCAAGAGGGATGTCATTATTACACTAAAGATAGGATGAGAGAGAAAATATTCTTCCAGTCACTAACCTTATTAAATCTTTCAGGAGGAATTTGATGCAGAAGAATAGGTTCCATAGTAGTTACATTTCCAAAGCGCACCTCTGGAATGTAGAGTGCACAAACAACATGGGCCCAGCCACTATTATCAGTTTTTTTAAGTGCACCATCTTTGCATGGACACAATTCACAACGCTGAACAAACAAGAGAAATGTTCAAATTAGGAGTGGAAATACTGTTTAAGGATCATTGTTTACAGTGAAAATCATGTCGAACCGCTTTCAGCTGGCTTCTTCTTTTATTCGAATAATTTGTGAAACACAACACCAACTTCTGTCAGGGGTGCCATTCGAAGGGGAGCAGGCTGGGCAACTGCCCCTCACTGCTTTTAAGTTAGGCTGGGAAAAACCACTTGTCTGCCGTTTCCAAGGTGAAACCTGCGCGGCCCCCCCGCCCCAAAAAAAAAACCCCTTGTCATTAATTTGCCCAGCCGTGCAATCATCTGAAATGGCACCCCTGAGTTCTATCTCAATAAGACAGCTTCTCTCGTCTTGTATATTGTAGCATGTCAGTCTCAAAATATCAGTAAACAGCTAGGATACTGAACAGGTTCAGGGAATTGCATTTTGATCCCTTCTTTTTTATTGCTTAGAACTTCCAGAAAAACCTGAATAACTTTTGAGTTTTCTCTTCAACAAAATTTACTTAAAAATAAATTTATGAACTTACCACACGAGCAGACCTTTCTTGAGATTCACACTTTCTACAATACCAGTTACCTTGAGGAACGGATACTATTCCATAACAAGCTGCAATGATAGGAAACAAAAGAATATCATTAGCTTTAAAGTAAAAAAAGTACATCAGTACTTGAAACTCAGCATGAAGTCTTAGCAGCCATCTGGCCTGCAACTTTTTTTTCTTAGGGTCTAAAATGAAAAATTGGCCTTTCGAAATGCCTCAAGTAAGGGGCACCTTGCAGAATGCGCAGAAAAATCTCAAGTTAGAGTATAACAACGATTTTCTTGGCCGCCTAGCCTTTGCTGCTAGTTACATTTCTTAGCGGCCAAAGGCGATTGCTTTACAGAAAATTGCTGATCAGCCAGCGTGTGTTTCAAACACTGCATTCAATAAGATGAATAAACAAGTAAGCATTTCCCATGATGATAAATTGAAAAACAGAGAACCCTCTATCTTTAGACGATTACTTTTTTTCTTCTTATTGCGAAAAAAACTAGTTCTTTTTATTTAAATGACACATAAAACGTAAAGTATTCCTCAGTATCAGTCCTTAGCATGAGGTAAGTCTAAAGTAGAAACCACGCCAAATAAGTTTACGCACTTTCAGACTACGATAGTAGATCCGCCACCTCACTTCTTACATTTACTTCACATGTGAAAGTGACATCAGACGATCTTTTGTTACAGTCTAGAAGTGCGTAATCTTATATGGCATGGACTCGGGTGAATATGGAGTAGCGTACACGGCTTGAATACAGACTTGCTAAAATGGTATGAGAAGCGATATACTTCATTGTGATGACCATTTTGAGGGCAAGACCCCATTGTTAAGAGGGTAATAAAACACTAGATGAAACATAAAGTTTAAAATGTAAAAGTTACTCGACTTATTGGAAGTAATGTCTATGCCCAGATATCAATTTGGAGGTTAGGTAATTCCTATGATTGTTTACACATGATCATCCTTCTATGGAACCTGGATCACATCCATACAGCAAATATAACACAGAATGCTGGGTGAAAGACATTATGGTAGGTGGCAAAATAAAGATAGACATGGGAAATCAGTCGCTTCAGATAGGGCTGAGGGGCGAAACCCCACACTTGGGTTCAGTGCTGGCATTCAAATGATTGACTGCATTGTTTTACTCTAGATTTTAGGAGAACTAAACAAGATGGGTCGTTGACAAATTACTTTCCTTGGAAATGAGCTAATAATCAAATAGAACTTCTGACAAATTTTGAGTACGGAACGATGCTGCCTCGGCAGGTGGTTAATTCAATATTTGATGCCAAATGTCTAGAGCAAAATGTGTCAGTGAGCACAACACAAAGTCACGAGTTTGAAAGCCACTGAGGGCTCTCCTATAAGAAAAAACTTGGGAAGAAAAATAGAGTTTGGTACAGAGGTAGTCGGAGAAGTCGGAGAGCATGGACGAAGGCGATGAGTTCAGCTTACCTTGGTGAACAGCAACTGTGCATCCTTGACCATCGCAGTAAACTAAAGGATTTTCAGCCCAACCTCTTTCATCGGAACAAACGCAGCAGCCACCAACCATTTCCTTCATCCTTTAATACCGAAATTATAAGTGTGAAGCGTTGCGTGGATATCTTACGAGAATCACGAGCCTCATGTTGAAGGTGCTTGTCACCATGCGGCAAAAGATGAGTGTTACGTTGCGCACGAATAAATACACATTGTAAGTAAGTTTGAGGGGAAATGAAGAAAATTTTAAAAGTTCACACAGCGTTAATAAATAAACATTAGACCCACTAAAATTACCTTCGCCTAGAAGGTAATGACCTCCATTTTGTGATGGATGTATAATTGCATTGCCGCCAAATAGTTACATAAAAATTCGGAATCACCTTGTTTAATTATTGTATTAGATTGATCGACAAGGACAACTGCAAGTTTAGACTTTTCTAGTAAAACATAAGGCATAAATTTAAAATATTTTGAAAAAAGAAAGGTGGTTTACATGATCATTGATTGATTCGCGAATTATTTTTTGAAAATACAAATTTTATATAAAAACTTGGCTACAATGAAACCAACGCTATCTAGCGTTGTGATTTGTGAATCTAATGTGGCGCTAAATTTAAAACTACAAACTACACGGCCAAGTCCGCAATGCAACCACGTTGAAAGGAAGATGCGTGCTTTCTTTATCATAAATCTTTTTACTTAAATGCATGGGTGGTACTTTTCAAAATCTGCTTCAAAACTGCTGTGCGGATGCAAAAATAGCTGATCAAACTAACAACTTGTCGAATTTTCCCTCTTTACCTTGGAACTCACGAAAATGTGACCGTCTGCAGGGAAAAAGTGACATCAGGATTCGTTTGGAGACCTGCACAAGATAAATTATCAATAATTTTTTTTTTTAAACTCACTTGCACGCAAAAATATTAGCAACTCCCGCATTCTCAGCGCGACTGTTTCCCTGGCCCACGACGCGGCGGTCGCTATAATTTTTCTTCGCACCTCGCCTACTGAGGGTACTGAACAGAGGATTGTTGATACCGCTCAAATCTTGGTTGAAACTGTAGGGGTGCTTGAGGATAAAAATATTTTCCCAAATTGTTAGATCTTGCTTTTTATTAATTTCTTTGAGGAGCGAAGGATTTGTGTTTACTTCATGGTTTTCTTTCCATACATGTGCTGCCACCGCCGACCTTCCAATCTCTTTTTTCTTGATGCAATTTCCATGTTCTTTGCCCCTAATTTTCAGCGATCTAATCGTTTGTCCGATGTAGACCTTGTCGCAATTTTTACAGTCCATTTCATAAATGTCGGATTTCTCACAGTTTTCTGTGTCCACATTGTCTATGTTTTTACTAAAAAAATTTCCCACATTAAATTTGCTAAAAAAAAGACGAGGGACATGGTCAACAAAAACTCAGAATTTTGTTTATTAAAAAGTATCAAAAAGTCAAGATTCCTAATCAAATAACTATAAGTATGTAGCATAAAATCACCTTACGTACAAATAATCTATTTACTTGTAATTTTTTTTGTGAGTTTTATTACAAGCAATGGTATATCAATTAGGAGAATGTAAACTTTTGAAACTTTTCAAAGGAGCAGTTTCTTTACTGAATCCAACAGCTTTTTGGCACTCCGTTTAAAAAGAGGTCAACTTGAATATTTTTGTTTCAAAATTTGGTCGTTTTATGATGCATTGCTATACTTACTCCTCTGAATTGATTTTTAATCAAAACCTCAATTTTGAAAAATTCCCGACTTGACTTCTTTCCAAAATAAATACTGACAAGCCTCAGTTACCAATGCTAGGTAACCTAGGCACATGGATACCTGGCTGGTTTAAAATTTCAGTAAATAAAAGAGAAAAGGTACTGAGTATGGTAAAAGATGGTTCTTTAATAGTAAAAAATAGCATGTAGATACAAAATTGATATAATGAAAACAGAGAAGGAACAAAAAATAATGACTGATATAAAAATCTGAGGTTGAATTCATTGAAGGTTGAATTCATCCAAAAAATTCCGCTTGCTGCAATCAGTAGACGTGCACCATTCCATATAAGAACCTGCAAAAAGAGTCAAGGAAATATACACCCTAGAGGAAATGATAAAAAAATAATGGAAAACTTTTGAGATGCTAGGAAAAATTGATTTATCAAGCTAAAGCTTCTTTGGGCATACCTGGAATGTTGAAAAGGAAATTTAGGTAACCGCTCGAATACTTTTAAAATCTTTATGTTAACCTTTAGAAAACACAGTGAGCAGTTCACTTTTTAGCCATCTAGAGAAACAATAGGAAAGGATTTTTCTGATCCCTCAGCTTTTGTGGCTCGTTTTCCAAGATGCAAGGGCAGTCAACTGTAATACCAATAGAATAAACATCTTAGAATCTCTAAAAAGTTAGAACTTAAGTTGGCTTTTAATCCTGATTACTATGGGACTTGGTACCTATGTTTTCATTGGTGAAACTGCTCGGTTTAATTCATCTCATAGACTTAAAACTTAACTCCTTATCAAAATACTTAATTAAGGTTTGTTAGTTTATTAGAATTAATTTTAGTCACTCCTCATTGACTATCAAGATGCTGAGTAACAAATGTTTTATACCTTCAAAAGAGCTGATTAACGTTTTTAAATCAGAGGAACTTGGTTGCCTTTCTCTAACTGGAAAGGATGTAACTTCTTTTCAGTCCATCCTCATTATAAATGTATTGGCTCTCCTATAAAGGGGCCATATCAAGAACGGTTTCATTGACATTCATTCTGATTGCAAATTTTCCGATCCTGATTCTTCTGCTGCAGTGGCAGCAACACATCAAAGATTTTAAATTTTTCCATGAGTCAAACAAACGTTACTAGTTTTCTATACAGCTACCAGCAAGCTTACATCATACTTACTGCTAAGGGTTATGGACACACAGTGATTTGGACGTACTTCTACTTAACAGAAGTACATATAAGCAGGTAGGAAAGATGGAGTGTGCTCATTAGTGCTCGGGCTGTGAAAATTAGTGGGAAATATGAAGCGCCAGTGCCGTCAGCGGCAACAATGAAGCCCTGGAACAACGATGCGAGGCATTAACTCATGAGCCTTGTCCACAACGCTCTAAACACATGCCCGAGGCTCAAGAGCCCTGCATACAGTTGGCACAAAGCTCTGTTTGCTGAATTTGAAAAGTGGGATTTTACATTCTGTCAAACAGAACTATGTGCAAAGTGTATGCAAAACTCGTGAGCATGTGTCTAGAGCATTCTGGACGGGGCTCAAGAGTCAATGCCTAATCTTCATCCCGGGGCTTCATCGTCGCTGCTGACGGCCTGCCGCTTTATATTTCCTATTCATTCTCACGGCTTGAGAACTAATGGGCACACCCTATCCATCCCGCCTGCGCATAGTTCTGTTTGGTGGAAATAAGTCCATGTGTAGATACTCAAATCCCCCCCCCTTTCTAAAATATTTACAAGCCTTCTACCACTTTGAGATGTTAGCACCGAGCAGTCTTTGCTTCCTGCAAAAAGGTCATTAATTAGAATATTCTTTCAAAATTAGACAGACTTGTTGGCAGAAAAGACGTAGATTTTTGGAGTTTTCCTTTGATAAACGTAATCATATTAAGAAACTCTCTTGCAAGGAGGTCATGTGAAAGCTTCAGGGCTACTTCATGCAAATAAGTCCTGGCTGTGAGTAATTTGTGCAAAGAATTAGATTCTGCATCTTGTGCAACATTCTTGCTGCATATTATTGACCTCTAGATGTGGCAAGTTTTCTTAACATCACCAATGACTCTCTCAGCTTTGTATTGTGTATTCCGAAGAAATGTGCTTCTATGACTGAAACTCTCCAAGTTTGTTAAATGCTTCTGAAATCACTCATAGAAAGACAAATGACATTCACGTTTTGTGAATACGTGGTAAATTAAGTAAAAAGGATACGTCCAGAACAAAACATAAGTCTGAATAAAATGAGTTAAGAAAAAATTTGACACGAAATGGTAAAATTAAGTTATTTACCAAGATTCCTGAAATGTTTGTAAATAATTCTACTTGATGAAAAAATTGGTAGCTGCTCATGAGTAACTATCAGTAGACATGAGATGCAAAGTTCCAAATTGAGAAATACTGACAAAAATGTGAATGCACAATTTTCCTGATTATTTTGAATTGGTGAAAATATGTGCATGAGGATGATTTCTAGATAATCAAAAATTCAATGATTGATTTCTGATACATCGAAAGGAATGATGGCCCTGAACTTATCAAAGCAAAAAGACATGAAAAATCATCATTATACATGAAAGTATAAGACTTTTGCGTTGATTACGCATCACCAACATCGATTTTGAGGCAAAAGAGTATTTTTCAGCAATAAATCAGTGATGACTAAATCATCCTTGGTTATTGTAAATCTTTCTTCAATGAAAATGCTTTTAGAAGTGACACTTCCAACACAGTCCAACTTTACAATCAGTCAAACAAAACAGTGATATGATAATAACACTTATTTAATTGAGCAAAAATTGTTCCCAAGATAATCCAAAAGGCTGCTCTGGTTAGAAAGTTATGCCTAGATTCTCTTATCCAGAAAATTAAAAAAAGGAAACTCTAATCCTTCAGAGACATTCGAAGGATAAAATACTTCTGATGACAAATAAAAGGATACAAATAGAGATCCGAAGAAATCATGAGTTAACAATGATCTTCGATTGATAAAGAACTTTTGCCACTGAGTTCCAGCTTTCATCAGCAGCATGACCTAAACAGAAGCAGAACATCAACATTAACTTAAATAATCAGGGTAGATTTCAATTAAGGATAGGTACATCAATGGCAGATCAGGATCTTCTTTAGTTGATGAAAGTAATGAAAAAAAATTATTCAATGATTTTTTCTTGCTTGAACTTTTAAATTACCTAATATTTCAATTAATGCAGACAGGCAAGGGTGTTACTTAAAAATCAAATAAATTTACAGATTTAGAACTATCTGTATAAACTGAGAAATTTCCAGATTTAATTCAAGGAAAAGATTTATATATAAAATTTGATTGTTCAATTAATACTGAATAACTTGTTCACAGGATATAGTTATACAGGAAGAATATATCGACGGTGTTAGTTGGCAATCACATAACTTGTTTGCGGCGTCTGAAAACCTCCACCTTCATGTTATTTTTTTAGAGGAGAACAAATTGACATCATTCCTTGAGGTTCTTATAGAATTTTCTTGGCACAGAGAAGAAAAATCACGGCAGCTTTAAAGAATTGCCATTGAGTAGTTTTCCGTTGAAAAAATAAAGTATGACAGGAAGTCTGCGACGTCGCAAACAGAGTTATGTGACTGTTGACTTACACCGTCGATATGTTGCAATGTTGTAAAATTGATTTAGGTTCTATTTTGAATAGAACTTCACCAAATTTAACTCCTATGAAAAGCTGAGATGTGAAATCTTGATGTTTGGACGTTTCAAAAATTTTATGTTGAAAGCTGACTCTGGCATTAAGCCTTGCTTCAATTATAACCCATTGTTCTCAAAATAAATTTAGTGTCAAATGATTTTAATGAGGAAAAGTCTAGTCTTAAGCTCCCTGTATCATAGAAATAGGAATTTATTTGTTTCAATTTACAAGTTATAAGAGCAGATTAATTAATTTAAAAAAAAGGTAGCATTTCTTCCAAAAGTTTGCCTGATCTCTTTTGGTTGGTTAAATTTTGTTGGTTTTACTGGTAAATAGTAATATAGGTGGTAATGTGGGTGTAATATTCACAAATATTATAAATGTCATGGGTATTATCTGTGCTGAGATGAGACATAGCATCTAAAAGTTAAGAACCTGGAACTTACCCACAATCCTAGTACTGAAAAAACATAGAAGCCAAAACCATAGAATCCAGTTAATCCTAACAATCCTGCTGTGCTCCCTGAAAGTGCTGCCATTGATGTTCGACAGTATTTCACAATGGCTGCATTGTTCCGCACTGCTGATTCACTGTATGCGATTATCTCTGTAAAATTCATGAACATGAGTCAAAGAAACACAGCAAAATAGCAAATGCACTGATTGACACATTGCATGGCTTGAGTCCATACCAAATACTTTAACGCATGTTTTGACCGCAGCAGAAGATCACGTAGTATCAATTGAAAGCATTGAAAGTAAATTTAAGAATTAAGATGGCGAATCTTCTGTTGCAGTCTTAAGAAGCGTAAACATATTTAGTGTTCCGTTCGAGGACCCTGATAGAGCTCTGACACAACTCCTAGGGGGACAGACTTTCCTCGGATGTAATCTGCGTGCGTAACTGGTCTGAATGAACTCCTTAGAGTTTCCATACTTGGGGCTGTGTCCTCCATGTTTTAAATCTATTCTAATCTAATCCATTTAGTGTTGACTCTGAAAAAAGTCATAGTATCGTCGACAGTCGAGAAACTCAGAGGCTCTCTTGGGCCCACAGAAATTTTGATGGGAAATAATCATTGGCGAGTTTTAACGATTTTCATCTTGAAGCTTTAACAATTTTCACAGCAGTATAATATAACTACCATATGCAAAACCTAGATGTTCCTTTGACAGGAGAAAATCACAGAATACGTAGATAAAGTACCAAGTTAAATTTGGCTTTACCGTTACGTAAACTGTACAATTAAGTAAAAAAAAAGCGAACCTCCTTTTTGAACTCTGGTCTTCACTCTTCCGGTTGACATGACGGGAAATTAGATGGGTGAAGAGCAGTGTAGAAAGCAAGTTTTCGAAGGATGTCGTAAACAAACTGTAAACCAGATTTAGTGGAAAAAGAGTGAGTAGTTTGAGTTGATTAGGCCATTAGGGATGGTAAAATGAAGAGAAAAACAATTGTTACAAGAAATAATTATCACTGCTGTTTAATACGTTATGAGAAACGAAAATTATAAAATCAACAATTCAATTTTCTGCCTCAATAATTGGTATGGGAAAAAAATTAAAATTTTGAGGTTATGTTTATTGATTGATACAATGGGTCATGGGTCAGTAGTGCCAATCTAAGATATGTACCAATCGTGTACAGGTTTGCACGGTTCGATTTGCCACAGTTAAATCATTAAATTTTACTGCTTTGTGCACTTTACACTTGAGAATGACACCCCCCCACAGATAACTTTTAAACACTGACATCTAAAGATGTGAATTTTGGGAATCTCCTGGTACAATAAGCGACACTCTCCACATACTTAAAAATTTAGGGGGTCCTTTGGCTGGACCAACTCAGCCGTTGATAGTTCAACTTTAGCCCAAGTTATGACAGGTCAAAATTAATTACCTACACGGGTAAATTAAGTCAATTTTTCAAAAAATCATTGGTGCCATTTATAAGCTTGTCTTAAGCAAAACTGAGGGTAGGCAGCCGGTAAGATGATTGGCTAGGGTTTACGGGCTCTCGAAACTGCTAGATTCCTACTAGATTCTTCCAATTCTCATTTTGTTTGAAAATGCTTTCAGCTCTTGGCATGCAGCAAAAAAATTCATCCAATAGTAATAAGAGACTGACAAATCCCCCTTCCTTCCTTGACACTCGATTTTTTACCGGAACCAGTTACTGGTAAAAAAACTTGAAAATTTGCCTCGACCCAAAAACATACAGCTTATACTTTCCAGCTAGGCCAGGGTGCAGGCAAGGCTGTAGCTAGCTTCAATCTCAGCTTATCTTGGACTATGATTACTTCAGTAATCATAGTGCAATTTGACATTATACCCAATTTTCTTGAAAATATTTATCAGTTAAAATCAAAATTAGAAAATTGACTATCAGGAATCGAGTTGTGATCTATTAGCATGCTGAAAATTTTAAACTTTAGTCCTGAATTCCCTTTATCTTGACACTATCATAATACATCTTTGAATTAATGATACAGAAAGCGAGAGACAAGAAATAAAGTGAACATAATATTGTATGCTTTGTTAAAAATAATGTATTTGGATCACATTAATATAAATTACATACAACAATTGAAAAACGCCAGTTTGAAAATCACAGATTGTAAACTACAGGCCACTGAATAATAAAAATAGGCAACCACATGCATCAATAAAAAGGAAACTATCAGTTGTGAGAATAGAAAAATAATTGACTTACATACTAAGATAACTGATTGAACAGATCAACACTTGTATTTGTCACGTTTATAAAATTAGGTGTGGATTTTGAAGCAAAAGGCACACTTTAAAATTCGAGATTTTTATTTGTTACTTCAAATATAATTGATCATGAAGGTGATTATTATTACTTTTGTTTTTATTTGTATGATTCTCATTTAAATGAAATTATTATCTAAAAGAATCTTCAGTTGTATTTGATTCATGAAGATCACTTGTAAAAATGCCTTAAAATTAAAATTGTTTGGAATTTTTGAGCTTCTTACATAAAATTTTCTTGATTATATAGGCTATGCTATGCTCACCCCTAAATCTCATTTTATTTCAGCTACATTCAGTGACTTAGTTATAGTAGATACTCAGGAAGAAAACGAATAAAATAAGAGAAACAGATGATTGAGGTGATTGACTGAGTAAAGAGGTGGTTGAAATCCTTAGTGATTCAGGATATTTAAAAATAGTATCTCCTTCCTCTGAAGTAATTTTTGCCACTTAAGTAAAAACATCAGCAGATAAAATCAATGAAATGAAAAAATAACATCAAGCATTATCTGTCAACGGTATAAAAAAGAGAATTCCGATTGAAAAAATCAGCAACGAGCTTGTTCAGTATTTTTTGCTTTTAGTATTTTTGAATGGTTGGGCGTGCACCTAGTTCTCAGGAATTTCCTCTGATTTTTTTGAGCAATATTAAATCAGAAAAAAAAGTTCCAAGTCGCGAATGTTAAGCTCCCATTAAAACACATATCACTGAGAAACTCAAAATGGTGTCCAAGGAGATCCCTCGAATGGCGGTCACACTTGCGACCAAACCTTTCCTCTGGCACGATTCATGGCCCGTGCATCGATAACAGAAAATAAAAAAACACATTCAAATCTTTCGATTTTCATGAAAACCATCGTCAGGTGCATTACTCACATCAAAAAGTTATGATTTCTTGAAAAATGAAAATTCCAATATGTTTGCTTATTATGTGCTATCAACGTATGCTATCAACGCCTGTATCAACGGGCCATGAATCATGCCAGAAGGAATGTGCTATTGAAAGTGTGACCACCGCTTTGGAGATCTGCTCAGATGCCATCTTGACTTCCCTGGTGATAAGCGTTATAACAGGAGTTCAAACTACGCAACTTTGAACCTGTTTCTTGCATGTTCATATCACTTGAAAAAAAATTGTAGGAAATTTGTGTGGCCTATGAGCACTCTCTCCTTTACAAAGTTGAAAGAATTAAGTTTACTGAAAATTCTCATTGAGTGCGAAGTGTAAGTCATCCACACTTACATTCAGTAAAAGTTTTCGATATAAATAAGTGTTGCTGCTATTCTCGGCAATAATCAAACCCATATTTGACAATTTCGTGCAAAGCTGCGAAACAGAGCCAATACTTGGGACGTGGAGGGCTGGAACAAATGTAAAAGAAAAAAAGTAAGAGGACGGATATCAATGATTAATAGATAATATGCATGTCAAAACAGGCGTTAAAATGAAGCCTTTAAGCTGACTCGACAAATTTCGAATCACACCTACAAAATATGCAACAAATTTTTCTTCTTCTTTCTCTTATCATAAAAAATGGTAAATTTAGGAGACAGTAGATCACAAAAGACTCAATAACATGCTTTTCAGTTCATATCTCGCCGAAAAATTGCGCTGGAAGTTCGAGACTTTGCACAGACATTTTTGAGAGCTCCAGAATTAGAAAAAAGCGTTTGCCCTAAAAATGGCGGATGTCAGCAACCGCTATTGTTACATATGAGTCCTCATGTATGTTTTGGCGGTATGTTGATGGAGTCAAGTTTACCGATCAGCAAGGCAACAATCAGCCAAATCACTAAAATAGAGCACGTAGCAATCAGTGCAACATGAAGAGGTATGCAAACTTATGCGAAAGGTGTTTTCATCAGATTAGCAAAAAACAGCACAACGCATCACTCTCAGACAAATGGACGTGTTTCTGACTTCAATTATAAGTGAATTTTGTTCTGAAGCAAATCTGCTAAGTAATTAAACTACTGATTTCACTGCGCAAAAATTCCCTCACACCTTGGGAAAAACACAAATTTTTTGCCCTATTTTTGCTGAAATTGAACTTCTCATCTTCCTTAAAAGCAACTTGCATCTCACAGCAATCAACGCAAATGACAATGAAGGTGGTACTCAACTACATACAGTGTAAAACACTATACAAATGCATCTTTCTGCTAGGAGCTATTAGTATATTTTAAACTGCAGAGTATAGATGTCCGACCTAAATTTAATCTGTTTTGTTCCTCAAAATTTCTTAGTATTTCGAAGAAGCCAAAGCCATGAATTTTGCATGACATAATGACCAAAAGGTGGTTTTTTACCTTTAAAACAGGTAACATGTTTCTTTTAGAGATTAACGCCTATAGCATCAATGATGGCATGCAATCTTGCTTGCATCACTTTTAAGTGACAAAATTTGTTACATTGAGATTTGGTTTCGCCAAAAGTCATGACGGGATTTAGCTTCTCAGTTTATTTTGGCAATTAATTTTGCTCCGCAAAATTCCTCAACTTTTGTTTTGATATTTGGATCGTTTCAAAATTTACTATCTGCAAGGCCTTAGTGCATGGGAAATTTTTAATGAATAGCTAAAAAAGTATGATGTTAACTCACCCTCAACACCACATAAGCCAGTCAAACCCCGATACATTTTTTTCAGGTGTGTTTCTTCAACTCCAGTTCGTAGGCTTTCATCTCGTAAAGATCGTAAAACTAACTTTTCCATTTCACTGCAATTTCTGCAAACACAAATGGATTAAGAAAATCATGTCAAGGCAGTGGAGAAAATGAAACTCAGTAAGGGAAAAAATAAAAATTAAATTAATAATGTATCACCTTTTGTCATACTCTACAATGAAATGTCGTATGGGTATGCAAGTTAAACAAAGTTCACATTTTTGACAGAGAACGTTGCTTGCGTATTGGTTACAGTTTTATTCCTTATACAAAAAATATTAAAGAGGCGAAATGATGCTAAAAAAAGGAACTTGATCTAACTTACTGGATGGTCATCACTCTGGGTCCTGTGAAAATGCTCTGAAGCACTTTTTGGACATGTATGATTGTGACAAGCGTTTTTTCATCTGCATACTCTGTGGCTCTTCGACAGATATCCAAAGCTCTCCTGGCATCACCTGAGACAGCTGCAACTTTCCTGGATGGTAAAAGAGAAAAAGAAGTTTTTCATTAAAAATCAACAGCATTCTAAGAAAGTGGATTATCTGAAAGATGCATAATTAATACATTGATAAGAAAAATTTAAGGAGGCAAGTGTAGAAATTTTTAACAAAAACAGAACTCTCCAAGTTGGAATATTTGGCAAAGTTCAACAGTTCCTGATAGTCTGGTAAATACAACTTATAATCTTGATTTTTTAATTGGGAATTTTACTTCTAGAGGTCATACTAGATGATAGTCCTTCTGCCTACAGCACCACTTTTAAATTCTGGTCTACTCCAAGGTAGTAGTCGATAAAGATGGCTGTCAAGCATTTTATTACATTCTGTATCTTGGTTGCTAATCAGACTTCAAATTCAGCGCTTTTGCAACAAAACAGTCGCCTCCACAGATTACCAGATTTTTGGGCGGTTCTCAACAAGTCTGGTGTATCGAACTTTTAATTTATTGATTTTTTGTACATACAGTTAACGAATGCTTGAACTCACTCAAAGTTTCCTTCTTTCACTTTTCGAGAAGTTTTACAAAATAAATGGAGTTGCCTTCTCAGATAAGATTTTTTTAAGATTTAAATTCAATTTTCTTGATGATTTTGTAGGTGAGGAAATGTTTTTTACATTGCAGGTCTTGAAGCAATCCCATCTAATCATTATTATTCATTAATATTCTAATTCATCATTAATTGATCATTGTCATGAAGCAAGATGATGGGAACTAACCTTGAAACTAATTGAACAGCATCTGGTTGGAATACCTTGAATTTATCTAATCTGTTCATGACTATTTCCTGCAACTGAGTGTGAGTGTACGGCTGGAACATTAGGCGAGTCAGCCCCTAAAAAAAGAGCAAAATTTCAGGTCCGATTTTGAATATTTTCAATCTGTTTCTAACTATTAAAGCTGCTAGAATGAAGACATTTGAATACAAATACATAGCAAGTAGTTTGAAATATTTTTCTTCTGAGTGTAAATGAAGTTGGTGTAGTGCTCAACAAAAATTCCTGAATTAATTACTTGAAAGGATTAAAAAAAAATACTAAGTAATCAAAATGCATGTAACAATTTTTTTTCTTAAATCTTTCTATACGTTCTGCGACATTCTTGCGATAATCTTTTCAAAAATGTTCAGGAAATTTACACTGCAGATTGTGATACCCATGTATAGATTGAGGACAAATTTGGAGTGGCGCTAAATTTGCTTTCGATTTTTGGAGGAAGTTTGTCTTAAGACAAGAGTTTCTGCTGCTAAACACCAATTTCATGATTATCAACTCCTTTTTCATTTTTTAAAGGGAGATAAAACCAACATCAAGGCATAGAATTTTCACGGAGTGAGAAAAAATCACAGTCAATAAATGATGTGTCGTAGTTTTTCATTAATGTCAAAAATAAAATGTGACAGGAATTCTGCTACCCCTCAAACCAACATACACATTTCTGCAGTTTCACCATTGATATACCATTTAGGTTATACTGTCAAAAATGTTTCACTAGGCTCATTCCTGGATACTTCCCTCATTCAAGGGCTCATTCATAAATGGGATGGGGTCTTTTTTAATCAAACGGAATCACTCATTTGCACAGCCCTGCTTGCATTTATTTTTCAGAGAGTGTAAAAGTAGATTAATAAGATGGTTGTGCATTTTAAAAATATATGAGAAAACTAATCTTAAATGGATAAATACCATTCGACTGGTGACACGGCCTTTTAAAGTTCTTTCTGGCAAATCCATAGTATTGGCAATGGTTAAAACTATAAGTCTGGCATCTCGCTTTGTAGTCCAATCTAATATATTGTAAATGACATCCTGTCTCCGGTTACATAAATAGTCTAGCTGAAAAATGGAAAAGAAAAGTTGCTACTTTAATGAGGGGAAAATACTGGAAATTTTGGGAAATACCAGAAATACGAATACTGGAAGGATGATAATATTAACTTTTTTAATACCATATTAAGCCAACTAGGAAGGGAACAGTTTAAGTGCCTTTCATAGTCTAATTTATTTAGCTTCTGTTTGATCTTTTTTTAAAAAAAAAAAACAAAAAAAAAAACACCATCAATAGCCTCAGAATCATTTATAAATTGAAATAAGATTTCTCAAATGCATTCAGAAAATAATGTCTTTTTGAAGTACACTGAATGAAAATATATATTTCTACATTCTTGGAGAGGATGGCTGACTGACACATCTTATACTAACACAGGAAATCTCGAAAATTGTTATTTTTTCTTCCTTTCTTTCTTTTAACAAAAATAATTTTTAAAACATTTTGGGTTTGAATTAATTATCCACTGAAAGAGACCTAGGTAATTTAAGATACAAAACAAAGTAACATACCTCATCAACTAGAATTATTGTGGCTTTTTTGGCTGAACGGCTGAATTTCTTTTCGAGTGAGGTCTGAGCAACAGGAACAGAAACTGTCTCCCCAGTCAAGTCTTTCCAAATTTTGACATATGCTTGACGAGGTTCAGAGACCCGCAAAGCATTAACTTCGATAAACTGAAAATATTAAAGAGAAAAGTTGTCCATAAGCCTGGAGTGATTTTGCAAAATTAGATTAAACTTTTAGCCTTCAGAACTGATACATTCATACAAAAATGAATATATTTGGTCGACACCAATCAACATTTTTAAAAAGACTCTTTGCTCCTTTCAAGAAACTGCACACCTGTACCTAAGTGAAAGCATCATGATCATATTAGTACAAATAGCAAAAATTCAATTGACCCAACGTTTCAATCATGTATGTTTCCTTTTTTATTCCTCTTCTCCTAATACCACAAAGAACCTGGATTGAATAAACAATTAGAAAAAATAAAGAAAAGAGTTGAGAATAGGTTGATGAGATATTCAGAAATTAATATGTGAGAGGAAATTTCGTTAAGTTGGTTTGAAATATTTTAATAATTGGTTATTGGGCCATAAAATGGGCACAGTGGACCACTTGCAGAAAGCTGAACATGGATGGTACTTACAATGAACGGATCAATTTCTTCCTTTTCAGCTTCTTCTCTTAGTGACTCGATAACTTTGTGTACAGTTGCAGTTTTTCCAGTACCAGGGACACCACTGATATACATGACTCTGAACAATAAATGTTAAAAAGACATATCATTGAACAATGCTGCTGCATTTGTTAAAATATTTGATTTATGTAGAAATAGCCTTCATCTTGTCGACACCTTACTGTGTATTCTTCGCATTTCATCATTAGAAGGCAAAGATTTTCTTTTTTGGTGGACATCCAATAGTAGTTGCAACTTTTCTAATAATGTTTTATTCTACGTTCTGCATCTAACTTTGCATTGAAAAATTGAAAGTTTTAAAATGAATTTTTGCAACATTATTCTAAGGGGGTATGCAGTAGGATTGAGAATGTTCAGCAAAGATTAGTGATTGATTCAAGATTTTTCATAAGTTAATTTAATGACATATGTTATGTATTTCACTGCCTGACTTTGTACAGTGGGTGCAGCTAAATGCCATAATAGAAACATTCATGTTAAAGTTAAGATAATTAATTAGTATACATGAAACTTTCATAGAAACAAAAGAATCATAATCAAAATTAGATTAGTTCCAAAACACATTCTTAATCAAGAAACCTACTTTTCACAGACTACACTAACTTTTGGAACTAAACTCAGGACCGAATGATGTACGAGGAAGAACCCCCAAAAAACCGGAATTTTGCTGTAACTTGGCAACTGTAGAAAATATCTGAGTTCCACTGCTGCAATGTGTAACTAGAAGCTATGAAGAGTCACTAGGCCAAATTTCAACGTCGTAGCTCATTTTCTTTTCTTTTGGCGAGACTTTGTTTAAGGGGTTGTCTGGCGAGTTCGTCGTTTTTGAAGATGGGTGATTTTCACAGGCAATACGCAGCTAACTCTGTCAATTTTTGGAGTGAATCTTGCAGGGAACATGTTTCACTCATGGCATGAGTGAATAAATGTTTTTCTTCGTTTTGTAGTGTGATTAATTGTTCTAACTTCGGTTGGACGCCCAGCGGCAGTCACCGGCCAGAACGCTAAATGGGGTGTTAATTCCGCAACAACGCGTTTTAGGCCCAAATTTTTTACAGAAATGTTTCAAATGTTTCTGTATTACATTCAAGTGATATCTGCTAGCTAATTAAATGATCTATAACCACTCTCATTCACAAAAATGCAAGTTTTTTCATTATTTGCATTGGTTCTATCCAATGGCGATGGCGGTTTGGAGCCATACAGGGGTTTCGGGCGACGCAGCACCATTTTTAAAACGGAAAACTGTACAAACACTGAAGTATCGTTTTTTTTTCGATGAGGCTTGTCCTCTAGAAGCAGTACTTCAAAATTTTAACAGAGGAGGTCGTTTTTTTACCGAGTAAGAGAGAAAAACTTGAGCGCTAAGTGTTGTTACTGAAATTGACCCATCTTCAAAAACGACGAACTCCTCAGACAATCCCTTAAACCAAGTCTCGCCAAAATAAAAGAAAGTGTGCTACAAAGTTGAAATTTGGCATAGCGGCTTTTCATAGCTCCTAGTTACTCCTCCTAGCGGTGGAACCGGAATGTTTTCTATCGTTGCCAAGTTACAGCAAAATTCCAGTTTTTTTGGGTCCCTCCTCATAAAATCTTTGATATTGTTTCTGTACTTGTAATTCATTTTTCTTTTTAAATATTCCTAACCAAGAAGTAATCTAGGTCCTTTGATCACCTACCCTCCAGACTGAGACTCAATTTTTCTCGCAAGGAAATTGTAAACTGTGTCGAACTCAGATTTTCGGCAAGGTAGCGACTTGGGAACTGCTGAGATATGCAAGTTAGCCCTTGCTTCATCAATGGGAGTTCTTGGTGTACTAGGATTGATTTTAAATTTCGCTGATTGTGGAGTTGAGTAGCCAGACTGAAAAAACAATATGGAGACAAATATTCAGTTGATGAAGAGGGAGAAATTAGGATGACTTTTTCCACAGCTTGATTAAAATGTACCAATAAAGATTTTCAAAAAAGTGTAGCGGCTGTCATGAGCAAATAAACATTTCAAAAGCTAGAAATTCTGAATGACACAGAAATTTAAAAGACTCTATGAAAGTTCCCTGTCTCTCATTTTCTTAAAGTGTTGTTAATGGGGGCATTAAAGAATGAAACAATGCTGTTTTTCTGCAGTTTTTATGCCTTTTTTCTTTTGTAACAGAAACCTTAGTCCTCTAATATGAAACATATACAGAGTGATTCAGAAGTCCTGCTTCATCCCTGTAAACTTTAGGATTCTTGTTTTTTTTCAGGAGGATCCCTATTAAATTTTTGGATCAGCTGTTGGTGTCAGGCAATATCCTCCTTCCCAAATTTCAATGGTTTTCCATAAACCATTGAAGAATGATGTAACGTTTTTAACTTGCTTTATTACTTTTTGCCACCTTTAAGCCACCTCAAAACCATACTGTGATGCATACTTACTAAGTAACATTATTTGTAATATCTTTAAAGTTTTTGTTCTCTTTTCAAAGTATTTTAAGGAACGTTCAAAAATTTCAGCCTTGGCTCAAAAACAACTGAACAATAAGTCTAGAAAAATGATATATTTAGGAGGAGAATAAAATAAAAAGATAGTATTTACCTTCCCTTCTGGGTGTTTATGGATGGACCTCGGAGTTTTTGGTGCCTCCTCTGCTTTGGGAATTCTCTGTTTTGACTTGGGAGTCAGAGGCTCCTAAAAACAGTAAAGAAGCTTCTTCAACAGAGAGAAGGGAATCTTCACAACATGATGATATAATTTGTTTTGGACTCATTTTTTTCCCAGTAAATTCAACCCTCACACATTCAAACCCTGACATTCTTTTCTTTGATCATTCTCTTTTCATATTCACCTTAAATCAAATGTTTGGTTGTTTCCTTATCCAAAGCATGTGGTTCTAAAATTCAAGAGGTTAAAGTTCATTTTTTTATTAGTACTACAACCTGTTGACCCCTCAAACTTTACCAATATGATTTCATGTGGTTCAAGGTTCCTCTGGCCTGCACCAAGTGATTACACATTAGAGATGTGTCTTATGGTTCTTCAAATTAGAAGTTTAGAAGTATATTAGAGACAACAGTAACTTAATCCAGTCCTGCGCCTTTTATCAGTGCTTGCTCTTTATGTGTGACCAATCTAGTGCATACACAGGTAAGTATTGTAGGTACAGGTATTATCGCCTGTTTCCTATTAGCAGGACTCTCAAATGATTGTCAGCTTCGTAGAAGTCGAAAATAGATTAAAATTAAAGAAAAGTAAAAGATTTATGTTATCAATCTTCGTTTGTTTACGAAGCCAACATTTCTTGATGGCTGATGTTTGGTCGAACCCCCGGCGAATAAACCTGGGAGTGCGCGCACAATAATTTGCAGTATGACATCACAGAGGCGGGCGGGAAACTTGAAAAGTCACGAACTTGGATACTGTTTTTCACTGTGAAAGAACTTGTTTCGGACAAAACCGGGTGTTCCGATGGATTTCTCGTCTAATTTTACCCTGATATCAATGGTTCTTAGCTTAATTCCTAGCGTGTCTACTGGCCCATTCACATTTGCATTGATAACAGGTATGTGTTGGTTGGAAGTTTTATGGAATGAAAAAAATGTATACATCAAGGACTCACCTGCTTGTCAAGGGTTAAATTTTCATCCTGTGACTCTAATCTCCTCTTCGTTCTAGAGCTACATCTCAGAGCTGTCTCCGCCTCTTTGGGAGAGTCTTGAGCTTTAAATTCATTGGTAGAGTCTAATCGACGTTTGATTCTTGAGCTTGACTTTGAGGTAGATAAAGGTTTCGGTGAAGAGTCTTCTGTCTCTGAATCTTCAACAATCGTCTCTGAATCTTCATCAATCTTGTTCAAGTAAATAGTGACATCCTTGAAAGAAAGACGCTGATTGGAAGTTTGTTTTGGTGTCAGTACTTTCTACATAAAAAAGAAAAAAACTGATTATTAATATCTACTTTGTCATCCAATAATCTTGAGCAGTTAGCACTACTATTCAAGTTCAGCAAATTGTTGTTAGAATTGAAAGCAAGTTTTGATTTAGCTTTTAAAATGGACCAGTTTGGACAAATCTAAACTGGCCTACAAATTGAAGAAACTTGGGAGTTCACGCGGTAGGTACCATAGAAAGCAAATCTGTAAGAAAATTCACATTTTGAGTCAATGCCTCTTGTGTAATTTAGACATGGCTGGCAAAGTAAAATATTTTTGGCTTTAGTTTGCCTTTACTGCTCAGCTGAGAAAAGATTGGAGTTCAAGTTTGGGCTGTTAGATCACCGACAACAAACATGGCTACTGGCAAGGCTGATAATGAACAATGGCTCCTTTTTAATCAGGGATACAAGAAGCTCAGCCTTCCCATTTTGAAAAAACTTTGATTTCTCAAAATTTTGCAGTGATGATTTACTTCGCTCTTTATTGTTAAATTTTCAAGATTTTGCACAACATACGAGGATCATTCAGAGAGATTTTCATCAGCAACTATTGATGCCAGACAAACTCCAATTATACCGATGAATTTGTTTAGAGTGATGGTGATTTCACCAATGAGCATTCCAAACTCAGTCAAAAACTGATGTCTCACTTGATCCTAGGATATTCTACAGTACTACTCTTGAACCTACATACAAGAAAAAACCTTTGCAGCATTGTAAAGAGAAAGGTTTAAGTACCTTGTGCAAATCAGAGACATCTAATTTGCGCTTCGCTTTAGGGGTACATGGAGAGTTGCGAGGGGATTGACGTACACTTCGTTTTCTTTCTCGCATTTCTTGAGATGTGTTTTCTCCGTCACTCTGCAAAAATAAAAACAAGAGGATTGTAGGAGGATGGGAAAAACAGTCATTATATGGACAGCATTTAGTAGAAAGGAACGCAGCCAAATCAGCTATAGCCAAATTTAACTGGGCAATTTAATTTCTTACAAGAGCACTTTGATGCGGATTCCTTTAACTTCGAACTTCGCAAAAATGCGAAGTTCGTAAAATAAACTGAGACCATAGGAACTTCAAATGGAGTTCTTATGTTGGGCATCGGCTATTTTCTTCTTTGTATAATTCATCAAATATATTAAAAATGAAGACAAATAATATCTAGCTGACGCAGACGTCTGGCGAGTGAAAAAGAGCTCTCTTCATCACCAATTAGGTGTTGCAAATACCTCCTTCTTCTACAAAGTGCACATGAAAAAGCTGAAACTTCTTTCTTTGAATCCTCTTCCTCTCTAAATTGGCGCCAGATAAAGTAATACTTTAGTAGTAAAATGCAGGCAGCACCTAGTTCCTTTGTAATCTGTGTGATTTTAATTTATTCCATCTCTATTAAGTAGCTTTAAAGGGCTAATCTCAAACTTGATCCCTTCTCTTATTCTTCACCCAGTCCTACGTGAACTTCCCTGGAGACCATTAGACTTGTACGTTACCTGGAATCAAACATAGGACCTCCGAATCATGAGGCGAAAGCTACACTACTACACTATATGGCCACTCTGAGGGGATTTTGAAGGGCTCGATATAATTTTTAATTATGTTAACCCTCCAAGCATTTCTTTTCTTTGAAGTTCATGGAAAACTATAATTTGCTTTTCCCGAAATAAAAATCTCTCTCCCCGTGTCCAACTGAATGTGGAAAGGCAGATATATCAGCAATCTATGAAATATCAACATGGCTTCTCCTTGGTTGGCACTAAACACAAAAGAGACAATCTGCACGAAAAAAGTCCAATTTATAAAGATTTAAAAAAAAATCCAACTTGAAATATACCTACGTAAAAATAAATTTTGTTTCAAACATAAATGTTTTTGAAAAATTTGAATAGTAGATAGGTAGCACTACTTTCTTGCTCCTGAATATCAGTAGAGAAATTAAATTTATTACCTCATCACTGTCTGGAGAAGAATCTGCATATTTTTTAATCTTGGATGAACTGTCAACAGAAAATCTGGGACTGCTGCGGAAACTGGGAGATTCTTTCGGAGATTGACATTCATCCAGACGGGAAGACCTTCGTGGCCTTTTAGCTGGAGATGGAGACATAATTCTGTTTCAAATAAAAATGTTCCAGGTTATGTAAAAAGGCAGAAGGTTACGGACATGATAATGAGTTCCCTACGGCTAAGTGCCATTTGAGGTCAGATACAAGTAATAAATAGCTTGAGACTACACAATACATACACACACATGCAACTACACAAATTTTAACCTTTCTTCCAAGGTTCTTTAATAATATTCAAGGGACAATCCTTTGACCCCCCTGCCATTATGGAGGACTCGGAAAAGAAAAACTGAAAAAAGTGTCCCTTGTTCTCGACTTATTCCTGGGAACAGCCTGCATTTTTTCAACGGTTATACGGCACCATACATTTCTCGAAGTTTTTTGGATGCTGGGATGTAGAATAATAGAACTAGGATTGTTTAAATATTCAAATTTAGCAATAAACAGTCGTTTACTAACTCAAAGTAAGTTGTAAGATACCATTTGAGGGGCTTGGAAGACAAAGCGTATAAGTGCAAATTTTGCTGTTACGAGAAAACGTGCTCAAAGTTTCAAAATTACATGGATCCTAATGGCGGAAAGAAAGTTCAAACTAACTTTTTAATGCTTAAAATTTAGAATTTAGGAGCGAATTTTTCACAGACCATGCAATCAGACAACTTTTACCTGAGATCTTTTTTTTTTTTTTTTTTTTGTAGTTACTGGGAGAAAAAATGACGAGTCTTTGGAAAGATATATACAATTTGACCATGTTGTTCAACCGGACTCAGCACAATCCAGAATCTGGGGCTTTCGACTCCCACCCGAAATAATTGATAGGTATCTCAATTTTTTCAAAACCTGCACTTGTGCGCCTGGTTCTCCAAGCCCCTCCCACCCCTGCACACCCAATTTCTTTTAAAGATAAATGACACCGAAAATGAAGATTTTCGAGGTTCCAGGACAAGAATACTCCTCTGTAAGAACTCAGTGCGGTTTTGCAATGACGAGTATACTCATCCGTTAGAGTCAGGGGTTAAGATCCAAATATTTTATATTAGATGGTCAGAATTCTATGACTGTTTAAATCACCCAATGATTTGCATGTCGATGGTGTGAGTCCGCAGTCACATATCTGGCTTGCGGTGTCTAAAAATCTCCCCTTCAATGTCATTTTTGAAAGAAGAACAAATATTGACATCATTCCTTGAGGTTTTTGCCGAATTTTCTTTGCACAGAGAAGAAAAATCACGGCAGTTATAAAAAATTACCGTTGCATAGTTTTCCGTTTAAAAACTAAAGTACGATAGGAAGTCGGCAACGTCGCCAACCAAGTTATGTGATTGCCAACTTATACCGCCGATATTCACATGTGAGAGATCAACATTCTAACAATACGATGAATGATCTCCATAAAGCTCATGGACCTTCCTTTGAGAAAGCTAAGAAAGCTGTAAATCTCAAATTATGAAGGCCGGGGGGCTTGGAATGAACATGAAAGGCCCTGGAGGTTTACATGCTCATAGAAACTTTGAGAGAAAGAATGAATAATTCTTACGAGGATGCTGACTTACAGTGAACACAATGGGTATCAAATTTTGAGATGAGAAAAACTTTGGACACTGCGGAGAAATGAGGCATGGATTTCTAGAACTATAGGAGTTGAAATATTCGATTAGATGTTATGTCTTGCAGAATCATGTTTTTGTTTGTTTTTTGCAATGCAAAGCTCAAAGCCGCGCAAACTCGATTGAGCGTTTTTGCAGGCAAAGACCCCCTCGGAATGAGCAGGCGATCACAGAGCGGGAGTAGCTGGTGGAGCGTGCATGAAGCTCGCTCGGACTCCATGATTATGCTCTGTTGCTCTCTCCTCTCCTCTACTCTTTGCTCAAGGTAGATTTACACAGGTATGGAAAAGTTGAAAATTTCCCATGAGCCTCAGTACGTGTCACATGACCTCGTGACGTAGGTTAAGGGGCCCGTTTTTTAATTAAATTACAATCAAATTAACATTCAAACGTTTGTGCGTTTAAACGCTAAAATTAATATCGTATAACCAAAATTGTGCAAAAAATCCCACAAAATTTTGACAAACGATAAACCGAACATAATAAATCA